TAATTTAAATATGAAAATAAATGTATCCGTTAAAAATTCAGCTTGATGGATTGTCATAAAATCACAAATAAACAAATATTCTGCTATATTTATTTGATCTCATGGATATTTGAACATATTCATATAGCTGAATTACTGAAAAATTTATTTGAATGTGAAAATAATTGTATGCATTAAAAATTCAGCTTGCTGAATTGTCATAAAATTCTAAATAACTATTAGGCTATTTTTATTTGGCCTCAGGGATTTTTAAAATATTAATGTAGCTGAATTACTGAAAAATTAATTTGAGCTTGCTGAATTGCCATAAAAATCCAAATTAACAAATATTAAGCTATTTCTATTTCACTCAGGGGTTTTTTTTCAATATAAATATAGCTGAATTACTGAAACATTAAATTGAATCTGAAAATCAATGTATGCCTTCAAAATTTAGCTAGCGCTGAATTGTCATAAAATTCCAAATAAACAAATATTAACCTATTTTTATTTGATCTCATGGCCTTTTGGACTTATTAATGTAGCTGAAAAATTATTTTGAATCTAAAAATAAATTTAACCTTTAAAAATTCAGCCTGTTCAATTTATGTGATCTCAAGGATTTTTTAAAATATAAATATAGCTGAGTTACAGAAAAATTAAATTGTATCTGAAAATAAATGTATGCGTTAAAAATTCAGCTTGCTTTGCAGAAAAAATCAAAAAAAAATCAGAAAACAAATATTATTATATTATTCTATTTAATAAAAAATGTTTTGTATTGTATTTCTGCATGAAAAAATTTCATCGTTACTTCAAAAACATATTATGTCATCCGACCTTGAGAACGCGTAGAGTTCTGATAACAAATTTGGAACAAAACAATGTAAGATAGATAACTTGTTTTATAGACATAATGTCTGGTAAATTCCACATTATATGAATACTTTTATGAACAAATCAATGTGTGTTGTTTGTTTTTGCGACAATTAAAATTAACGTTATATGATCTTAATTGAAAATATTAATTGAAATAAATTTAATTGGGTTAACATTTTTTTTAATTTTTATTTCAATAAACGTATCTTATATAAACTTATAAACACCCTAATATTTTTTTTACTATTGCTTTTGTTCCTTCTTCCACTCCTTCAAAAGTTATACCGATACTCATTAAATACCTCTCCTCAATTGGTTAAAATCTCACTCTCCGTGTTCCGTTTATTAAGCTCGTTTTGTCTTGCTCTGCTCTCCATGTATTTTTTGATGTGGAGAGCCAGAGAGGCAGAGTCAATCGAAGAAACAGAAATTCAACGAACGTCAAAATATTCCTGCCACAGCACAACACGGCCAGCTAGCTAGTCAGTGTTCATTGGTCTCGAACACTCATTGGCGGCGGCGGCTCACTATACTACACTCGGCATTGTGGTGTGTAGCTGCTGCTGCCACCCAGTCAGACATACCTTTGCCTGCCTTCCACTGCTGACTGCTGGTACAGTTTACAAAAACAAAAACACTTTCAGAGAAACAACAAAAACAATATTGACAGAAGTAGAAAAAAACGCGACTCATGACGAACATAAATAACAAAAAGATAACTAACAAGGTTTTTCGTGCTGTTTTTTTTTACAGAAAAACAGAAAATTTAGAAATGTGTAATACTTTGTTTTGGAAAAATTTTCAAAATAATTAGAGAACAAAAATTAAAAAGTGTTTTTTTGAGAAAATCTCTGGAATCGTTGTTAGATGGGGTTCTTCGTTTCAATCCCTTTCAGTAACAATGCCTGGCATTTGTTAGAAATTTTCCAATATGTGTATTGGGTTTTTTCAAAACGTTTTTTTTTGTTTTGGTGTGTTGTATTTTGCTTTGAGACTGAAGAGATATCATAAACTTGGTATGTGCCTGGCTGCCTGCCTGTCCCCCTTTCAAAATACAATCCAGCAGAAGGGGGTGCCCTCTCACACTTCACTTCTCTCTGTTTGCTTGATTAAATCGACAAACCTTACATACATCGACAAATTGTGTCTTATACAAATACAAACAAACAAATCAAACCAGTCGTCGTCGTGTAGCAGCTAGCCAGCCAGCCATCCCAGTCAACAACTGATGAAAACGTTGGTGAAGATGAAGAAGAAGAAGAAATGTTAAAGAAGGGTACGGGCGGGGGGAAGCTATAACAATAAGAGGGGAATATAGTCATGATGTAGTAGACAAAAACAACAACAACAAAGATATATATTTAGTCATACTTTGCGCGCTTTTTTCACTTGTTATGGTATTGGTGTGGCTAAGATTTGTATATGTGCCACCGCTGCTATTTTCGCCTCACCTCCCTCCCTTTTGATTGACGACGTTTTGCCAGTCTTCCTTCCTGTTGTCTTTTTGTTGTAAAAATATATTTGTATTTCTCTCTCTCTCCCGTGATCTTTTTCTCTTCATTTTTGTTTAATTAAGTTCATTGGTATGTACGGTTGTTATATTTTGTTGTTGTTTTTTTTTCCTGTTGTTTTTTTTTCTTGTTGTTTTTTTTTCTTGTTGTTTTTTTTTCCTGTTGTTTTTTTTCTTGTTGTTTTTTTCTTGTTGTCTTGTGTTTATTATATTTTTACATGTACTTGGTGGTCTCCTTTATTTTATTTTTTATAAAAATCATCACAATTTGTCCTCTACTTGTTGTTTTTAAGAAGAAACTATTAAACAGTTTATAGTTCCACGCACCACCTATATGTATGTTTCCTATAACACATGCATTGTTCTGTTCGGCCCAACCCCACCCACTCTTGCAATATTTTCCATTCAACTGATACATATAATAATGATTCCACTATTTTTCTCCGGTTTATTCGTTTACTTCTAGATTCCACTATTAGCAATTTAAAATCCCGACGAATCATGAACACAATTGTACACATTTACTTAATTACATATTATTTTTGATAGAAAAAACACAGTTCGTCTTTTTTATGTCATAATGTGGTGATGGTTGGCTTCATTATAATTTTTCTGTGTATTACCTGTGCTCACTCCCACATATCAATCACACACTCTCTCCGTCCCTCACTTGTGCTGAGTCTGCAAGATTAGTTTTGATGTGTCTAGTTATTATATGCGATTTGTAAAACGTTTAGAAAAACAAATATCGTTCATTTTTCTCTTCTTTTTCTTTATTATTTATGTTAATTTGAAGTCTTTTTCCATATTTTTTTAATTTATAATTTTTTTATATTTACTAATTTATTTTAATCACAATTAAGACTTTGATTTGCTTTATTTTTCACTGCACTGCATTTGTTTCCTTCGTGTAGGGTTCTATAGGGAGATTTACTTACCTCCCTTGCATATGGCAGATATAGAATGACAGCGATAGAGGAGTGGGTGCAAAAAACAAGGCCAAATTTGTTGGAAAACTATTAGTAAATTACATTTTTCCTTCGAAAAACTTTAGTATGTTATAACAATTGTGTAATTTAATTAATTTATTGGTATTCGTTTGCAATAGAGTTTGCTTGCATGCAGCCCACAAGTAACATTGTATTTGACTTGTAGGTATCTAAAGGCAGATAATTGCCTTGTGTGTGCTTAACAGATGGTGTGGTATTGTTTTCAAGAAAAAAATGAATTTATTTTATTAAATAAAATATTGTGAAATAATACAGATAGATTAGAGAAATTATGAAATAATGAGGAATTTTCCGATTTTAAAGGAAAAAGATTGAAAGAAATGCATTTATTGTGGCCAATGTTAATTGTGCGCCTGCAAATGAGTGCTTTCAATTGCTAGTCAGCAGCCGTCCCACATGGAGCCCTTTGGTCCATTGTTTTCATACTGGATACTCGAAATGGTAAAAATTAGATGGACAGTGATGTTTAAATTTAAAATTTTCAGAAAGAAAATCTGAAGGGGCTAATTGATGAGAGGCAATTTTAAATTTGCATTATATATAATAAAAAAACTCTACTCTATAATTTAACCTATATAACACAATCTGCAGATATTTCAGAATGTCCCCTGCCTACATAACACATATAAGTGGTTATTATAGGAGGTCATTATTATCACTATTATCCCAATAATGTTTCTATAATATAAATTCATGTCTTTGAACTCAATAGGACGACATTGAAATATGGTATTAGAATATCCCCAAAGTAATTTTATATATGAACCAAGGGTCTTCCGTTGGGCCATTTAGAATGCCTTTTTACTTACAGCTAAAATAAGTTCATTAAAGGAGGGTTCTGATGTCTTACACTTTATTCTAATTTAATATATAATATATTTTTTTGTAAACTCCAATTCTAATCATTTTTTCTCTTTCTTTCATTTTAGTGTCATCAAGGAATCATTCCTTTCTTCTAAAAAACATCAAGGTATCATCAGCAGATAACAACGACAACAACATCATCATTGAAAACAAAGAAAAAACTCAACATTTGATTGTGAATTTTGAAAAAGAAAGAGACCGCCGAACACAAAATTCGTTCGTCATCATCTTAGTCTAAACTGATATTTGCCAAAATAAAAAAATCGTTTAAAACTACACTATTAAAAAGTGTAAAATGCATAAAAATCCAATGAGAAGACGACGTAATTATAATTTACACAAATTGAAAGTCTACCAGCAGCAGCATCAGCATCATCATCAAGAAGAAGAACAACAGCAACAACTAATTGTAGAAGAGACGACGTTGTTCCAAGTGATTCGAATTAAATTTGATAAAGGATACAAGCGATAGAGAAGAAGACAAGTGAAAAAATAAAACTAATTTGGAAAAAAAAAATTGTAATTCTAAGATATTCAAAATTGCAGAGTCAAAAAATCCCCCTCCAATTAGAAAAAGACCAAAACAAACAGTCACATAAAAAAAAGTATCCATCCAGTTGTCAATAAATAAAAACACATCATCCATCGTTGTTGCAAGCCTCACCGACTCTCGGATCTGCAGCAGCAACGTTAAACTAAACTTACGTTAAACTAACAGACTTTTTGTTGTTGTCGAAAGTAGAAATACCCCACCAGGGGTTTAAATAAATCTACAAAAGTGAAACCCTTAAAAATGATGAAACGTACTCGTGAAGAAGTACAGTATGGTGCACGGCCGGGTCCCGGTGGTGTAGGTGGTAGTGGCGGCGGGGGAGGAGGAGGTGGTGTTGGCGGCGGCGGAGGTATTACAGCTGTTGGTAATGTTGTTACCGGTGGTGCGGCCAGTGTTACCACCATTGGTACCGTCGTACCCGGCTCACATGGTACCGCTGGCGCTACAGCATTAACCGTTGGCTTGGGCACCGCCACTATACCAGCCGGTTCAATTGCTCATCATCGTATTTTAACACCTCAGCATGGTGGTGGTGGACAGACCATAACCTATTTACCCTCCAATACACCGGTAACGGCGACAAATTTAAAAACAATTGCTGATAGTAGCGGTGGAAGTGGCGATACAACCACAACGGTAACTGGTGGTTTAGTAGGAGGTGGACGTATAACACAAATTGGTGGTAATGCTGTGGTATCAACTGGTGGTGGTGGTAGTGGCGCTGGTAATACCGTTGTCCAGCAGCAAACTGTACAATATTCAACTTGTAAGTATTTACCTTCTTTATATATATTTTACAAATATCCATCCACTAACGATTTGTTTCTTTTTTTTTCTAGCCTATAATGTATCTTCCATACCAACTGGTGGTACACTCAAAACCGGACCAGATGGTGCGGTACAAATTCATGTAACGGGTGGTGGCGGCGGCGGTGTTACTGCTGGCGGAGCCGTTCCCATTGTTGCCAATACCCCCACAGTACCACCACAACAAACAAATTCGGTGCGGCAACGCACCATTAGTGGCACCACCCAGAGCAGCAACATCTCATCATCGTCCCAGACAATGGTGCAACAACAACAAACATCGGCGCAAAGTAGTAGCGGCGCACAAATTACAACTGGCGGTGGCGGTCCACCACCATCTTCGGCAGCACCACCACCACAGCCCGGACAACCGGGTGCACCACCACGCCTCAAAGTTGAAGATGCCCTCAGCTATTTGGATCAAGTTAAATACCAATATGCCGATCAGCCACAAATCTATAATAATTTCCTCGACATCATGAAAGAATTCAAATCGCATTGCATCGATACGCCTGGAGTTATACAAAGGGTATCAACGCTCTTCAAGGGCCACACGGAGTTGATCTATGGCTTTAATATGTTTCTGCCACCGGGCTATAAAATCGAAATACATTCGGATGAGTTGGGCTGTTCAGTGCCGGTGGTATCGATGCCATCACCGCCCGGCTCCGCACCGGGAAGCGGTACCACAGTGCATGCTATGTCCGGTACCGCCATGACTATTGGGCATAAAATCACAAGCAATGCTTCCTCTGGACCGTCAGTACATCAAATGCAAACGGCGGCCACAGCTGGAGCCAGCGGCGGAGCAGTTAATCTGATGACCCACGGCGGTACATCTCTGTCACAGACAACAATACATGCCTTACAGCCACCATCAGCGGCGGCCCAACAGTCACCAAATCCCGCAGGTGGACACACGCCAACACATGTTCCGCCACATGCCAGTGCCTCACCGGCACCGGCTCAGGTGACTGTGGCATCGGTGGTCAATGCCACCGGAGGAGCACCACCATCGAATATGCCACAAAATTATTCACGAGATCGTGATCGAGGCAGCGTAACAATGTCGGCAGCTAATTTGCCACCTTCGGCAGCAGCAGCACCTGGTGGTGGCATGGTTGTTGGTGGTCCGCCCACACCAAATTCGGTAAACGATTTAAGTCCACAAACGGCGGCCGCTGGAGGTCATCACAATCTGCATCATATATCACAGGCTCATCAATCGATGATGATGGGTGAAACGGCACCAGCACCGGGAGCAGCACCGCAACAACCAGTCGAATTCAATCATGCCATAACATATGTTAATAAAATAAAGGTAGGTTTTTTAATAAAAAAATATATTTATTTTTTATAGTTATTGAAATTATTTTATCATTATTAATGTCTCTCTCTCATTACAGAATCGTTTCCAAAATCAACCCGAAAAGTACAAAAAATTCCTCGAAATTTTGCACACCTATCAGAAGGAGCAGAAAGTCATTAAAGAAGGTGCAACGGGTGTTAATCAGGGCAAAACCTTAACGGAACAAGAAGTCTATACCCAAGTGGCGAAACTTTTTGGCCAGGATGAAGATTTGTTGCGTGAGTTTGGACAATTTTTACCCGATGCCACAAATCATCAGGCCCAACAGTATATGACCAAATCGCATAACGATCATAAACGGGCCACAACAACAGCAGCGGCATTAAGCGGTGGTGCTCATATAACAATGTCACCGGCTGGTGGTGCTGGCGGAGTTATACCAGCTGCCGGTTCACCGCTACATTTGGGTAGTGGTGCCACCATATCACAAATAAGTACAACGGCGCATGCAGCCGCCTTGGCTGCGGTCAATACCAGTGTTAGCCTAAAGCCTACGCCATACAACAATTCCCAACAAAATCATGTGATTAGCAGTGGTGCTGGTGGTGTGGGTCGAGGAAATGATGCCGGGATACCACCAGGCAGTGTGGTGGGTTCCGGTGGCCCGGCTGATATTCTCTACGAAAAAGATTATCGCGGCAATGTCCATGTGAATGTCCATCATCCGGGTGGTGGCGGCGCCCACCATTTACCGGGCAATGCAGCATCTTGTAATATTCGAGGATCCTACGATTCCAAAGATTCACATCGTAGCAATCACCATGCCTCCGTTGTGACAGGATCACAGAAATATCTCTCGCACCATCATCATGGCCACAATCAAGCCGGACAAGCGTCGGCAAATATGGGTGGTGGTGGTGGCAATGTCCATAACATGGGCAACATGAGCAGTAATGTCTCGAAGAAATCACCTAGCTATGGCGGTTTACCCTCCGGCATGCCACCAGGCAGTGGCGGTATGCCACCACATCTGCAGGGCAGCGGCTCAACAAATGTTTCCAGTCTAAATTATGCCCCCTCACCAGGCGGCGGCAATACCTATCACAATCAAATGGCCCATACACCTGGCTCTCGCCGGCATGCTGATGATATGAGCAGCGGTGGTGTGGGTGGAGGCTCGGGTGTGCCGCCCACCAAACGACACAAGCCCATATGCCGGGACATTTCATTTTCGGAGGCGTCGCGCAAGTGCAGCATTCAGGATGCCGCCTTCTTCGACAAGGTCCGAAAGTCGTTGCGAAATCCCGAAGTATATGACAACTTTTTGCGCTGCCTCACCCTCTACACCCAAGAAATTGTTTCGAAGACTGAACTTTTAACATTAGTTACACCGTTCCTTAGCAAATTTCCCGATCTGATTCGTTGGTTTACGGACTTTTTGGGACCGCCTGTGTCACAGGTGACCGGATCGAATTGTGGCCTCACCGGCAGTAGCCATTCCGAAGGTATTCCTCTACAAGCTGCACAACGTCACGGTGGCGGCGGCGGTGCTGTCAATAGTAATTCGGCGGGATCGCATGGCGGTGCCAGTGGCCTCAACGAACGTCAAAATAATCTGCAAAATACCGATCATCATCAGGAGATCGATTTGTCGTCGTGTAAACGTTTGGGTGCCTCCTATTGTGCCCTGCCACAATCAACAATACCGAAAAAATGTTCCGGACGTACGCCGCTCTGTCGTGAAGTGCTCAACGATAAATGGGTATCGTTTCCGACGTGGGCCAGTGAGGATTCGACATTTGTGACATCGCGTAAAACGCAATTTGAGGAGACAATATACAGGTTTGTGCTGATTTTTGTTTTCCATTTTTTTCTAATTAATTTTTAATAGAAAAAAAATATATTTTTTTATAGAATTCCGGATGATTTTTTTTTATAGAAAAAAATTCATTCATTAAAAAAATTTTTTTTATTAAACAAAATTTTTTTATTAAAAAAAAATATTTTTTTATTAAAAAAAATTTTTTTAATATAATTTTTTTTTATTAAAAAAAAAAAAATATTATTCATTATTATTATGATTATTATAATTTTCGTTTTAAAAAATCATTAAAACAAAAAATTCTAAATGAAAGGAATATTCACAGAACTGAGGATGAACGCTTCGAATTGGATGTGGTCATCGAGACGAACAGTGCAACAATACGTGTCTTGGAGGGTGTACAAAAGAAAATGTCCCGCATGTCACCCGAGGATTTGGCACGCTATCATTTGGACGATTATTTGGGCGGTACATCGCAGACGATACACCAGAGGGCCATATATCGAATATATGGTGAGAAGGCCGGTGAAATAATACAAGGCTTGAAAAAGAATCCCTCAGTGGCGGTGCCCATTGTGCTGAAACGTTTAAAGGTCAAAGAGGAGGAATGGAGAAAAGCTCAGAAGGTAAAATTATTTTTCAATTTTTATTTGTTTATGGAAATTAATGTTGTATACATTTTTTTGTTTACTTACAGAGTTTCAATATACAATGGCGTGAACAAAACGAAAAGTATTATTTGAAATCTTTGGATCATCAATCCATCAACTTTAAACCCAATGACATGAAGGCTCTACGTTCGAAAAGTCTTTTCAATGAAATTGAAACGCTTTACGATGAGGTAACAAAAATATATACAATTATTTTTTTTGGAATTAATTAATTAATGTTTTTATTATTTGTTCTTTAGCGCCATGATCAAGAAGATGAAAACGGTGAACCAATAACGGGGCCACATTTAATCTTGCCCTATAAGGACAAAACCATTTTGGATGATGCCGCCAATTTACTGATACACCATGTCAAACGTCAAACGGGCATACAAAAACAGGAGAAAACAAAAATCAAACATATTCTGCGTCAGTTTGTGCCCGATTTATTCTTCTCCACCCGACAGCCCTTGAGTGATGATGAACGCGAAGATGGTAAGTATTGGCAAAAAAATTAAATATTTCATTTTGTTTCTTCTTCTTTTTTTTTTTTCTTTTTTTTTTTTTTTTTTTTTTTTTTTTTTTGAGTTATTTTCATATACAAAATTTTAAACTAACATATATGAATATGGGTGTGTGAAAGAGCATAACATGTACAGTCGAATTCGGATAAGCAATGGCCGGTTTATCGAAAAAATCGAAAAATGTCGGATGCGTCTTCTATATATAGAAAACATGTCAAATTTTTCTTTTTTATATAGAAAACCTGTCAGATGTGAATTCAATATATAGATGACCTGTGAGATGCTTCTTCGATAAATATATGTCCAGTGCCTCATCGAAATATTGGTTGTAGACCCCATGCTTATTTTTGTATCAAATCCATTTCAGACAATTTGGAGTTGTGAGTTGTGGACCAAACATAGGAACCTAGAAGACCTGTCAAAGGGGTCCCATATATGGAAAGCTTGTCAGACATGTTTTTTTATCAAAAGAGGACCAGCAGGGTTTTTTTAGATATAGAGGACCTGTCGGAGGTATACAAAAGCTATATCAGAGATATATACACTTTGAAACGGTGTCTCATCGAAATATTGGTTTTAGACCCCATGCTCCTTTGGATCAAATCCGTTTCAGACAATTTGGAGTTGTGAGTACCGCCTGGCTAGTACGCACCACAATAACTCTCGAAAGGGAGTAACCGCTGATTTCATACAATATTTCTTCCATACTTAGTTTAAGTTCGAAGGTAGGGAATATCGGTCCACTCCTTCTGATGGTAAACATTTTACTGACATTTTTATATATCATACGAACGGAATGATTCATTTTGAACCAAACTTTGTACAACTTATTATCATTACCAAGCCTAGATGAAATCCAAAGATAGGAACCGTTGGTCCACTCCTTCAAAATTTTCTATATTTTTATTCACTCCTTCTGGTACCTCCCCCACAAAGGGTCAAAAATTTCGATATTTATGAATCCAATACCAGTCGAATGATGAAATGTCCGATTTGAACCAAACTTTGCTCAATCTAATATAATTACGAAGTCTATATCAATTCTGAAGAAAAAATTTTCAATATTTATAAATCCAATACCAGGCGAATGAAATGTTCGATTTGAACCGACTTGGCTCAATCTAATATCATTATCAAGCCCATAACAAGTCCGACTATGGGACCCATTGGTCCACTTCTTCTGAGGGTATATATCTGTCGGCAACACTGACTGACACTTTTTTTTGACGAGACATACAATTTTCTCTTACACACCACCCATTATTGTTTTTTTAATTTTTAATATTAGTCTAAATATGTAGTTAATTATATGATAAATAATACGTTAATGTTCTTGTTAGTAATTTAGTGTTTTTTCTTTTTGTTTTTGTTCTTTTTTTATTATGTTTTCCAAAACAAAACAAAAAAAACATCACCACCAACACCATCATTTCCCGCTTATCCTTAAACAAAACAAACAACAAAATTTTCAAAAAAAAACTTGGATTTGTTGTATGGCTGTGCGCTGCTTCTATTCTATTGTTTTATTGTTAAAATGTGTATGCAAAAACATCAACAACACACTCATACACCTACAAAAAAATCTTCGTTGGCGTTCCTATAAAATTTTGATTTTTTGTTGTTGTTTATAACCCTCTGTGCAAACCTCCTACAACACTACTACAACAACAACAATTGCTGCTGTTGCTGCGTATACTCTGTGTGCCGTGCCGCGCATATGACATTTTCCTGACCTATATTCGTTTGAATTGTGTGCATGCATGCCTGCCGCCCGTCCGATTGCCTGCCTACTCGCCACCTATATTTGTCTCTCTCTCTTTCTATATCTCTCTTCATACTATCCGGTCATGTTGTTCTCTTTATCGTTTCGTTTTTTATTTTTGTTTGCTCTCTTCGATATGTATATCTTTTCGGTTTGTTTTCCCCATACCCGCCCCTTTGTCTCTCTCTGGGCTTTGTTTTTTCTTTTATCTCTCAAAGTATTCCCGTTTTTAATAGATGATAACGACAAAATGGACGTTGATTCAACAACAACAACGCCCGCTTCTTGCAAACAAGAGACAAAAAATAAATCCGGGAATGTAACAACATCAGCATCATCATCGACAATAAACTCCTGCTCTTCAAGCTCTGGTTCACCGTCGTCCGGCGCCGCTGGCGTCTCCTCCACCTCGTCAACTGCAGCTGCAACGACGTCCACGACGACAACAACAACATCGTCCAGTTTACAACAGCCGCAGCCTGCCATTAAAACCGAAACCGAAGCAATGGATACTAAAGAAAATCTGGTACCAGCTTCAACGCCAAGTGTAATAAATAATGCATCAACAACAGCAGCTGGGGATACCACAACCACCAGTTCTTCCTTTACATCATCCTCATCATCTGCGGCGACGTCATCAACAGCAACAACAATTGCCAGCAATGATAAAAATCCCGAGTCTAAAGGTGGTGGTGGCGGTGATACCTCCAAAGAATCATCATCAAACACTGCCACAACTGATATCGCCACGACTGGTGGTGGTGTTTCCCCTTCAACAGCAGCAGCATCCTCCGAGTTAAGTACAAACCCAGCAAATTGTGATTCCAAAGCAAATGTCGCCGAAACATCATCATCGACAGCAGTTGCAACAGTGCCGCCAACATCGTCGACCAGCGTATCAACAATAACAACAACGTCTGCTGCAGCGGCGGTCACCACATCAGCAGCAACCACGACGCCGCCAATGACAACAAATGCTGCCACTGCATCGACAACAACGTCACTGGTATCCGTTGATGGCATTAAAACCGAAATCAAACAAGAAGATGAAGAAATGCCGCCTTCCACAGATATTCCCGTACCACCGCATGCAATTAGTAAACATTTGGTAAGTTGTTGTAAATCGAGATTAATTTGTAAGGCTATTTTATAGGGAACAGCTCTTTGTAAAAGTCCATCGAACAATAGGAGAAATCTCTCGTAGGTTACCTTTAGCTTCATAACGAATGGAGAAGAAGGCTGTTAGTAGTCTGAGCACAATCACGAGGACAATGATGACTGGGAATTTTGATCACTCAACGCCCTCTAAGGGAGATCTCTGAGTTTTGGCCAAGGTAGAGTCGAAAGACATCCAGAAAGGCTGCTAAAACACAACCTCTCTTCGAGCACAAATAAACAAACATGAAAATCCGCCTACCAACTGAATTTCCAAAACCCAAATCTAAGGTTATGACAACTAGAGGACCTTCCAGAAAGGTCATATTTTTACTGAAGAGAGACCATCCTGATAGGTTTTTTTCTTCCACGAAACGTCCTCAATTTATAGATGATTTTCCGGAATGATATTCTATCAATAGAGAATCTAACTGAAAGATCTAGGCTCTCTTCGAAAAGTATTGTATATATAGATAATATTTCGGAAATATCTTCTATAGCAGATCTGCCTCTATCGGTCATGTCTTCTATTTACAGAGAGCCTGTGTATATAGGTCAATCATCAATAGGTCCATGCTATTGGTCCATGTAAGTACATTCATCAATAGGGGACCTACCACACCGGTCTTCTATCCATAGAGGACCTTGTCGTCTGGTCTTTTATTTGTATAGAGGGTCTACTTATCTATAGAAAATCTCTTTTCGAATAATATTTTATATATAGATAAAAATTCTTTGAAGCTTAAGCTACTACAGCTTGACCGATCCTCTATGTATAGATGAACAATCAGGTAGGGTAGTCGATAGGTCACTTATCTATAGATGGCCTTCCAGCCCGATCTTCAATGTATAGAGTAACTTCTGGTAATGTGGACCATGCGTCAAATGTGGACCACCCCCCCCATATCTAAGAAAATGCTTGAAACGATTTTGTAAAATAATCGAACATTTTGTTTTTCTCGAATATAAAGAGGTTATGTGGTTTTCTTGTTTTCTTTAACAAAAATACACGTTTATCTGTAATTACAATCGGTTATTTTTAAATTTTTATTCGTTTTTGAAGCCGATAATTATTTTTAAATAAAAATATTCAATGTCGGGTAATGTGGACCACTATAAAAAAGTGGGACATTTTCATGAGGACGAGCTCGAAACAAGGACACATTTAATATGCGAGGAGGTATTCTATCCTCTGAAAACTCGATATCCGAAATTATAGGTGCCTCGGTTGGATAATGAAGCAAGGAACTTCAAAATGCCGCAAATGTGGTGGTAACCTTAAATGGGGGCTATTCCAAAACATGGACCCATATATTTTTGCATTCATTGTTACCCAAGAGTGCAATAAATTGATATTTATCACAATTAATCCATAACCTACCTTTCACTTACTGATCCTCATTACCCACACATACTGGTCCACATTACCCGCCAAGTTATTTTTATTTGCAGTTTAGAGTTTTTTGAAATATAATGCAATAACATTTTTATGGACAAATATATAATTTTTGACCTGGAATATAATTAGCCAACAAATCTACCATGTTGTGAAAACATTTTGTTTTTATTTTTTACCTTTGTTACGCCCACAATATAAAAAAAGAAAATGGTGGTCCACATTACCCGAAGTTACTCTAGAGGTCCTCTATCGGTCAGGTCTCTCTATCTATGGAGAGCCTGTAGATAGGTCAATACTCAGTAGGGGATCTACCACACCGGTCCATAGAGGACGGACGTTGTTGCCTGGCATTTTATTTGTATATGTTTTTTATTTATAGAGGATCTACTTATCTATAGAAAACCTTTATTCGATTAATATTCTATGTATAGATAAAAATCTTTGAAACCCATTCTACTATAGCTAGACCGATCTCTATGTATAGATGAAAAATCAGGTAGGGTAGTCGACAGGTCACTCATCTATAGAGGACCTTCCATTCAAGTCTTCTATGTACAGAGGAATTACCAGACAGTTCTTCTAGATAAGGAGGGCCTACCTGACATTTCTCCTATACATATTGTGATCCTCCAGACACGTCTCCTACATATGTGTTAGGTGAAATATTCCTATCACATTTCGGACTTTTCCTTGATTAAGAGCTTCCCCAATATGCTTTGGGAATAAGTTGTGATTTAACGTTTTAGGTGCCCATCTGTATCTCTCTCAATGTTATCAGTTTTTTTGTATTTATATTTTGGCTTCTCAATTTTGCCGCTCAAAAATGTTCAACATATCAGTCCATGTCGTTGCCATAACCTCAAATAATTTTACGTTATTTAATTTTTTTTCTTCTTCCTTTTTCCCCCTCGTTAGGATGAAGCCTATACCCTCTTCTTTGCCAACAACAATTGGTATTTATTCTTTCGCCTGCACGCTATACTCTGTGAACGTTTACGCACCATGTACGAACGTGCACAAATTATCGCTGCCGAAGAGGAAAAATACAAACAAAATCGTCGTGAAAATATCGCACAAGCCTTAAGACTGAAACCGAAATCGGAGGTGGCAGTCGAAGACTACTATCCAACGTTCCTGGATATGTTGAAAAATGTGCTCGATGGCAATATGGATTCGAATACATTCGAGGATCAAATGCGTGAAATGTTCGGTATACATGCGTACATATCATTCACCCTCGACAAGGTGGTGTCGAATGCGGTGCGTCAATTGCAGAATTGTGTTACCGAACGCATTGCACTGGACTGTGTGGAATTGTTTCATCATGAACAGAAGAAGGGCGGCGCCGGTGGCCTATGTCGCAATGCCAACAAGGCGTTTAATGCCGAAATGCACTATCAACGCAAGGCCGAGGAGATTCTGCACGAGGAGAACTGCTTTAAAATCTATATTGTAAGTTGGAACAAATTATTTTTTCGTTCTGTAACTAAATTATCTGTTTGCCTTTGCTTTTTTTAGTACAAAATTGATTGCCGTGTTACCATTGAATTGCTGGACACGGACAGTGATGATGTAACGACGGAACGTGAAAAGCCTGTAAATAAAGTTAAATCGTGGTCGAAATATGTGGATCGCCTAACAAATCCAACATCGGCAAATAACACAAATGCCAACAATTCGCCAAATTCATCCAACAACAATAACAACAGCAATAACAACAATAATTCATCATCAAACTTAGGAGATGCGAGCAACAATCTAACAAACAACGAAATAAAAACCGAGCGATGGGATGAAGATGGTTTGGTAAGTTTATAATTAACTTTCTTTTCTAAATTATATAGTATATGATGTAGACAGATCGATATCTGAGGTACAGATTTGGATATAAAAATATATACATATGTGCATTACAAATTATTATAAGCATTAAGAAGAAATATTTTTTTAAATTATAATTATAACTAATTATGATAGCAAATAATAATAATGACAATTTAGTTAGAACTATTCGGAAAATGTATATTTTTGAAGTTAATCTGAACGAACTCGAGAAAACCCTGTCTGAAACCCATTAAATTTATAGAGAAGACTTGGGGAAATGTCTTTTTCTACATATGTATATAAGCAATCTCTTCGTAACCACTTTAACTTCAGTCCGATATTATGTATATTGGGAATGTCTCTCTGAATCGTATTATATATAGATAACTTCTCTGGAACCTCTTCAATCTATACATGACTTCTCAGAAAGGTTTCCAGAGGGGTTTCCAGTCATTATTCTATACAGGCTATTTTAGTTATAAATGACCTACCAGACACGTCTTCTATATATAAAATACATAATTTACTTAAGGAGGGTATAGAAGGACTTACATATTTAGATAGGGTTTCTGAAGATAAGGATGTCTTCTGCAGTTAAAACTCTGGGGGCGAATTTAATTACTCCAGCTATTTGAAAGTTGTTGTTGTAGTAGCAGCCCTTTTGTTGCTTATACACAATTGACGGAGGAATTGTTGTTGTAGTAGCATCCTATTGCTTGTACATAATAGGCTGAGTTGGCAGACGTTGGCCGAGTAATACTCGGGCCGTTTCGGATCGTAGACCTCTCTGTGGTGAAAACGATGGACGGAGGAGTGGGTGACATACGTTGGTCGATTAAGACTCGAGACTTTTCGGATGGTGATGGGTTCGCTGAAGTCGTCGCGTTTATATTATTGTGAGGCAGGTTCATCGGGTGTTTTTCACACTCCCTTGCCTAGACTTGGCAGGCCTCTAGGCACACAATACCTTAACCAGCCGTACTAGAAAAGTGGGGAGATTTCCCTTTGTGGAGATCTTTGACAGGAGTAATTTTTATAACATCAGCCATATGGCTAATGATGAGGGTATATACACTTTGACACGATGAAAATGTGCCTCATCAAAATATTGGTGTTTTAGACCCCATGTTCCTTTGGACCAAATCCGTTTCAGAAAATTTGGAGTCGATTTACAGATGTCCGCCTGTCTGTCAGACTGGCTGGTGCGCACGATAACTCTCGAAGGGAATAACCGATTTAATTCAATCTTTGCACATCTTAATATTTCTTCCAAACTTAGTTTAAGTTCGTAGATGGGGATTATCGGTACACTCCTTCTGGTACCTCCCCCACAAAATGGTCTAAATTCTGCTACAAATTTATTAATGGAGCCTCCCCCACAGAGGGTCAACATTTTCAATATTTATAAATCCAATATCAGGCGAATATGGAATGTCTGATTTGAACCATACTTTGCACAACCTATTACCCATACGAAGTCTAGATTAAGTCCGAAGATGAGACCCATTGGTCATCTCCTTCTGGTACCTCCCCCACAATGGGTCAAACTTTTTAATATTTATGAATCCAATATCAGCCTAACATAACCTTGTACAACTTATTATCTTTACCAACCCAATATCAAGTCTGAAGATGGGACCCAGTAGTACACTCCTTCCGGTACCTCAATATGAGACGAGATTTCTTACCCAATTGACAGGGTTTTTTTTTTAATGTTGGGTTTTTATTCGTTAGCAAATCTCCAAATTGTTAATTATTCGTCTGCATATGGTTAAAGATGTACCCCAAAAATGTTCAGTAATTTTGGTGAATTTGGACAGATCTCTCTACCAAATTAGATGTAATTTAATATTTGGGGTTCTGATTGCGGTTCACCTTCAAGCTATAGCTTCCTCCAATCTGAACACCTCAATTTTTGAGGATTTTTGCCATACTTTCCAAATGATGAATTCTGTAAATTATGTTCTTTTGTATTGTGATTGGGTAGGTAATTCAACTAACAACACCGGTTATCGGTGTTTTGAGTATTAATATCTTTTGCAACTAAATCGATGGAATATTGTTGGTTCACCATTGGGTATAGTCCCCATATAGAGGCAACACACAATTCTTTGGTATATTGAATATTGTAGTCAAACATTTCACCAAAACGGACGGAGTTATAGTTTTATATTTTTGTTGGTTGGTCGGTCAAAATTCAAAATTTCATTAAAAAAATTTCACTCGTGCTTTGCTAAGTTTCGGTTTTCAAAATGCGTATGTGTGTATGTATATGTGTAAATTATAAAATGTTCAATATATTTCTCCATTTCCTTGGGAACGATCAAATTGGCCAACTTTAAATATTATTATTATGACAAAAACTGGTCAAGTGTGTGTATTTTTTGTATCCATATCTGTGTAACAGAATAACGATGACGACAAAGCAACAACAAAATCGTGTCGTCGTTTTGAACTACTCGGCGATTATAAGTACTTGTGTTTTTGTTCTGTATTTCAATCTTCATTTAAATTGGGAATGTTGTAATTTTTTTAGTTCCTTTTGAGCTTTTTTCTTCTTCTCGTATACCTTTTGTTATCATCATGTTTGTTTTGTTGTTTGTTTTCTTACTGCACAAAATATGCAATAGATTTTTTTAGTTAGACTCTTTTTTTAATTTCCTTTCAAAAATAAAAATAACGAATGCTTCAAATCTTGTACTTCTTCTCCTGCTTATAGAATATTTCTTAGTTTTGTTGTTGTAAGAACCACTGTTTTTATAATTCTTGAATAGATCAAGAAAAAAATCCCAATACCAAAAATCACTAATTAATGCTTTTTATGCATTTTTTTCTCTAATATTTTTTTCTTTTTTCGATTCTTTCTCTCCGTACCAGGTCAGACCCAAGGCTTAAATTAATAAAAGAAAAAAAGAAAAGAAACAAGCAAAAATTAAAGTAAAAGTACATGAAAAACAAAAGCAAAAAAAAAACTAACAAACCAAGAACAAGAAAAAAATACACTGTAAAAAAATTACACTAAAAACCTCTCCCCTCTCTAAAAAACCACATCTCCATGGCTTGTGAGTGATGATGGTGTAGGGAGGAGGGAAGAAGAATAAAGCCTCTCCCTCTCCAAACAACCACATCTCCTACACGGCTTGTGATGATGATGGTGTGCTGTATGGGGGAGAGTAGAAGAATATCACGAAAAAAATGATATATCCGAGATTGAAGCAATTATAGAATTTTGACTTGCAAAAAAACACGCTCGCTCAAAAGCAATGGCAAAACCAATCATGTGCTAAAAAACCAAAATAAACAACACCCACAAAAATTGCAACCTACTATCTATAAATATCAATAACAACCACCGCCAACCACTACCACCACCAACCAACACCACCATCCATTCATCCATCACCACCACCTAAATCACCATCATCATCCTATCACCACAATTCACCTCTAACCTCAACACCCACCCACCACCACATCCTTTATTGTATTGTGTATAGTTTTTTCCGCCTTTTTGACCCCCGACTCCCACTAAGAATGTGTTTTAATATTGTATTGTATTGTTTTTTTTTAACAAAATAACAATAACACGAAAATATATATCCGATTTTATATATAAAAAATAACTTATAATTAATTGTAATTATTATTCTTATATTAGTATTGCTGTAAAGCTTTGTTTTCATTTCGTAAACACGTAAATAAGCCCAATCATTACACTAATAAAAAATCGAATCATAGATATAGTGAAAAATCAAGTCTCGTCTTGTTATACATATTTTTTTCTAAAGAAAAAGAAACACATAACCTATAAAGTAATTTTTTCGTAGTAATATTTGTAAATAGTTTATTTTTTTATTAGTTTCTCTTACCAATAATTATTATGATGATTAACCATTATAAAATAATTCAATCAAACTCAGATATATTTTTCTAAATTAAGATGAGAAAAGTAAAAAATTATGCCACTCTCATTTTTTTTCTAAATAAATTGTATAAAACAAACACACACAAAAACTATTGACTAATAAAAAAATACAAGTTTTAAACGAAATGATGATTATGAAAAAACAAAAACACAAGTTAATTTTTTTAAAGCGAAAAACAAAACAAAAATAAATGAACAGAGTTAATTTACACATATACAAACAAAACAAACTAAAAATTTTATTTTTTGGATTTGTCTCGTCGCAATGGGGTTATTTAGAGTTTTTGCCTAAGGGTTTAGGGTTTCAAAATGTACTATAAGAAAAAAGTCGACTACATAAAGGTAAGTGGAAGAAGTAAAAAAGAAGGGGGAGTATTTTTTTGGAGGCCAATGGAATATGATCCGATTTTCAGCATCATAAAATGCTTCTTACAATAACACTACCAACCAAACCTGAGTCTGGTTAGAGCAAATGGCCCCGTTTTATTTTTACTGCAAAGGAAAAAGAAGAGGGATAGGGGTTTAGGGGTTTGAGGTTAGGTTTGATAGCTAGACTGTAAATGAAGATGGAATATATATCGCTGAAAAAAGTAAGCGAGTCATCAATCTCTCGTATTTACTAAAACGGTCGACATTTTCTGTCTGACTTCTGTGAGGGAAGTCATAATGATTTGAGGTTCGGTTTGATAAGAGTCCAAATGAAGATGGGGCTTAAGTTGAGTTTAGGGGCTCTTCTCCGATCTCGTCTCCCTGATCACGAATATATATGACATTCATTCATGGGGGAAATCCATATTTCCCGAGATATGGACCTCTGACATTCGGGAATTCATTTATATTTCAGAAAAATCCGAGATGATCCGAAAACTCAACTTGTTCGGAAGATGGGATCTACAAATAAAATCAGAGAGTCACGGTCGACATCTTCTCCTGCAAGGCATTCGATATCTTCTCCTATACATCTTCGCATAAACGAGATAGTAACAGTTTGATAACACTCAAAACGAAGATGGAATCTATATCGAAGAAAACATCTGAGCGTAACGGTCGACATCTTCTCTCCTGCAAGGCATTGGACATCCATCCATCCTATTCATATCTGTCTGGCAGGGAGTATCCGGCTTCGTAATATTTCTTTCAAACTTAGTTCAAGTTTGGAAATGGGTGAAAATATCGGTCCACTCCTGGGTGGTACCTTCCACACACAAAATAGTAACAATTTTGCTTAAAATTAATTTTATAATATCCGGTTTTAACTAAAATGTTTGCACAACCTTACATTTTTACCAAGCCCCCCCTGTATATTGTTGGAAGGGTGGGACTTTACGGCGCATTCCTTCTAGTATGTCCCCACAAAGGGTTAACATTTTGAAAGTTTGTTACTTTAATACTAAGCGAATGAATGGATTGTCTAATTTGACCTAAACTTTATACATCGTAATACTTTTTTCAAACTTAGGTGATGACAGAAGACGACAGAAGTGGACCGAAGGGTCACTCCTTCTGGTAGCTTCCTCACAAAGTATCAAAATTTTGAAAATTTGTTAATTCAATACTAAGGGAATGTCCTATGTCCTATTTGACCAAAACGTAATACTTTTTCCAAATCATGTCCAAAGATGGAACCCATCGATCGGTCCACTCTTTCTGGTACCTCCCCCTACAAAAGGTCAAAATCTTAATCATTTGTTAATACAATATCAAGCGAATGCAATGCTCGATTTAAACCAAACTTTATAAATTGTTATACTAGGTTAAGTCTGATATGGATCCACTCCTTCTGCTCGTACCTTCTCCACAAATTGTCAAAAAATTTAAATTTTACTAATCCAATTTTACATTTACATACATTGCACATCATAATATTTTCACCTTGGGCGAGATCAAGTCCGTATATGAGACCTATCGGTCCACTCTTTCTGTCTGGTATCTCCTCCAAAAATGTGTCAACATTTTGAAAATGTTCTAATTCAATAGCAAACGAATGGGGAATGTCCGATTTGATCCAAACTTGGTAGCAAATCTTAATAATTTTACCTTTGGTCAGATCATGTCCGAAAATTATGGTATCCATCGAACCACTTCTTCTGGTACCTCCTCCACCAAATTGTCAAAATTTGTAAGTCCATGCTGACAAGTAAAGGGAAATATGCTGATGTCTGTACTATTAATTTACTCCTGTTAAGGATCAAGTGTGAAGATCGAAACGTTCCTGACTCTATAAGTCACTTATATTGCGCTTTCTTCTATTACAATTCGATATTATTATTTAGTCAGAAAAGAAGGTATTGAACATTTTTTTTAACTTTGGCAAAAAAACTATTTGTTAGGGTTTTTATTTTTTATTGATTCAAATTCCAAATTTTCTTTTATTATGTTTTTTTTTTAATTTAATATATTTGAATAAAATTATGACCTGGTACGCTTATTTGCCTGCCTGTCTATACACCATTTTATTATATTATTTTTTATTATATTTTCATATTATCTTCTTCCTTTTTTTCTAATAATTTCTTCTGTATTTTTTTATTGTATCCCTTTTTTATAAGGTGTTTTTTTAGGTATAAATTTAAATATTCATATTATTTTCTTCTTCTTCTTTCTCCTCTCCAGGACATGCATGCTGCTCCACGAAAACCCAGATTTTTGAAACGTAATAAACTTTTGGCCTATTTGAAAGCTAATCATTTGATGAATGTGCCACCAACTGCTGCTATACCAACACCTCCTGCATCTTCAGAAAATACTGCAGCAGCTACCTCCACCACCAATGATTTAAATAGTTTTTGGAATAAACAACGATCGGCGGCGGCGCCAGAACGTCTGGGCAATTTACGCCTGCCAAGTGAGAAATATTTCATTAACGATCGCGACGAGATCAAATTAAATGCATCCGGCCGTCAAGTTTTTGTCATCAATAAGAATCTCAAATTTTTCAAATTGGATTCTGTGCGAAAGGCAAAAATGGTGAGTTATCTTTTTAATTAAAATGGTGCACCATAGGGTCTTTGGTGCACCATTTACATAAAACTTTCGATTTGCACGAAATTTGGCATAGCGCAATGAATTGAGTCTGAAATTGTGTGTTTTAAGTTTCGTGAAAATCGGTTCAGATTTAGACATAGCTCCCATATATATTTTCGTCCGATTTATCTTTTGATTTGCACGAAATTTCGCATAGCATACTGAATTGAGTCTAGTTTCATGAAAATCGGTTCAGATTTAGATATAGCTGCCATATATAATTTCGTCCGACTTAGTGTAAATAGTGTACCAAAGCCGATATATATCTTTCGAAATTCGGCATAGCATACTGAATTGAGTCTAGAATAATATGTGTTAAGTTTCGTGAAAATCGGTTCAGATTTAGATATATCTTCCATATATTTTTTCGTCCGATTTTTAGCAAATGGTGCACCAGAGGATCAAATTTAGACCGATTGGCACAAAATTTTGCACAGCGTACTGAAGTTAGGTAAGCCTAAGATGTGCCAAGTTTTATTAAAATCGATTCACATTTAGATATATCTCCCATATATTTTTTCGTCCGATTTTTAGCAAATGTTGCTCCAGAGAGTTATATTTAGGCCGATTGACACAAAATTTAGCACAACGCTTTGAAGTTAGGATAGCCTAATGTGTGCCAAGTTTTTTAAATCGGTTCAGATTTAGATATAGCTTCCATATATATTTTCGTACCATTTTTAGAGTGTCGAGTTTAGGCCAATTGATACGATAGGCTTAGAGGGTACAAGTTTACCTGGTTATTGAACGTAGGGTTAAGTTGGTTCACATATAGGGACAGATCACATTTTTAATTAGCCAATTTCATGTCAATGATCCTTCAAAAATGCGGAGTCTGTTAGGATGCATCTCTTGAATATAGCCAAAGTGGTAAAGGGTATCATGAAAGTCGGCCCCGTCCGACTTTCATACTTTCCTTAATATTTTTTTATCTACAATTTTGTATTTTATTGTTTTTTTTTCATCTCCTCTTCCTCTTTATTTACAGTGTCATATGCGTGTAACCCAATCGAAATATAAACGTTTCCAGCAATTTGCTCAAAAATGGCTAACCGCCAATGTTAGCAATGACCAGCAGCAGCAATGCAACGAATGGCTAATGGGCAATCCAAATAATGGTGGCGGTAACAACACTACTTCCAATAACAACAACAACAATTTTTCAATACCCAAAACCCTATTGATAATACAAAATGATTTAAAGAAGACACCCTATCATCCATATCATCGTTATAAGGTGTTGAATGTAACAACGGCGGCGGGCACAACAGCCGGTAGTCTTGCGGCGGCAGTGGCTGCCATAACCAGTTCAGCCTCGTTTAATACAACAATAACAAATGCGAATGTAACAACAACAACAACTGGTAGTGGCGTGGTGGGTGGTATGAATTTAACAACCTTGGCAAATGTTACGGCCCTAAGTGTGGGTGCAACAACATCGTCATCCTCTTCAGCAACAGGCGGCAATGTGGTCACCTCATCCTCATCCCCGGCTCCCATTTTATTATCAGCCACAAATTACAATACTAACGTAGTAGATGGTATAATACAATCCACCAGCAGCAGCAGCTCTGTAACGGCGGCAACCCAGGACCAGCCAGCCCCCCAAGTAAGACCTTTGGAAAGTTAGAATTAAATTGACACAAATCTTTCTAAATTGGGGTTTTTTTAAATAATTTAGAACGCCTCTCTTCTCATGCTCGCCGTGTTGCATTTTCAATTTTGTTTTCATTAAATTAAATTTCAAAAAATAATAATATGAACACTAAAAATGGCAACTTCAATAAAAACCCCCCTAATTTGCCATTACTAATAAAAAACAAATTTATATTATTATTAAATCTTTATTTTGATTGATAATTTGATTTAATATTAATTGATTGATTTATTCAATTCCCCCTAGCTATGAACATAACCTAATTTTGTATTAGGTTTTTTCTAATTTTTTTTTCGCTGTAAAAAGTCGTTAATAAATACATAATTATAAATAAGAAATGTTTTTATATTCTTCTTGGCGGTGAAATAAGAAAAATATTAAAAATTTTTCAATTTGTTTTCATTTTGATTTTGAGTTTTATTTTTTTCCTAATATGATGCATTCACATTAATTATTTAAATTGGATTTACACTCTTCATCCTTTCCCCCTTTTTTTAAATTTTAGAACTAAATTTTGCTTGTAAACAACAATTTAAACATATAATATATATCATACCATGTGCGTGCGTCGTGCATATGTATATATATGTATGTATTTACATTTACTATTTAAAATATGTTCCAATTTGCTCTTTTTTGTAATATTAATAATAATAATATTTTTAGAAATTAAGGCTAGTTACTACATATAACTGTAATAGTTTTTAAAAATATATATATATAATGAAATCATAATCAATACAACAACAAAACCCCCAACCACTGCAGAATAAAATATAAGAACAGGAAACAAAAAACAAAATTAAGAACATCTATAAGAAAAAAATATAATTTTAAGTTTTTAAACAAATGGTTGGTTTTATTAAAACAAAAAAAATATTTATAATTTATAAACAAAAAAATAATTATTAGAGTAACAAAATAATAATTAAAAAAACCTTCAATCTATATATACATATAGTCCTAATTACATTAGGGTTTCCTCTTCTTTAGTAAGTCCTTTCTTATTATTATTACTATTATAATTAATTACTTACCATATATAGTTCTTTGTAAATGTTATCAAATAATTAATATCAACTTAAAAATTAAGATGATTACGTAGATATACACATTGTGTATATATTATCATATAAAAACAAAATATTAATTATATATAATATTGAATAATTTTTGATGAGCGATGATAAACCGTTATATATAGTTTAAATGGAAAATAAACAACAAAAACCCACACACACAAATATAAAAAATAAACATTTTAACATTTTTGTAAAAAAAATAATTTGTTTTATTATTTTAACAAGAAAAAGGGGCTATATCGATATCTGAACCGATTTTCCCGAAACATGACACACGTCATTCTAGACTTAATTTAAAAATTTTGGTTTTTAATTTAAAAAAATAAAACAATAAAAAAACAACTATTTTCAGTTTCTGATTCGAAATTTTTATTTTTTTGTTTACATTTTAAAAATGTTTTATTTTATAAAAAAATATATGGTTGTATTTTGTAAAATATTTATGAATGATGAATTCAAATGAGATAAACGTTTGTAATAATAATAAAAAATATTCTGTTGTAACAACAATATCACTTATATAAAAAGTCTTTACGTGTTATAATACCGCTAACACGATTTTCTTTGTCGACAACAATTAAATGACGCAAGCCAAGTGCACGAAATTTATTGAAGATTTTCTGTACAGAATCGTGCTGAAAGAAAGAAAAAAAAACGTAAAATATTATTTAATATATTTTTTCTAATTGCAAAATGATTTACCTCTCTGGAACAAATCGGTGATGGATTCATAAATATATCCAAATTCACGGTATAATTAACTTTATCATCATGCATGCGAACATTCTGGGATGAATTACATATATAGAAAAGTAAATTTTATAATAAAATATTAAACAAAAATTGAAAAAAAAAAATAAATTCAATTCCTTACATCAATGGATGGATAACGCGGATAAACATCTCGGAATGTTTGTATTGTCGTTTCCGAATGCCAAAAACGTTTTTTCTCCTCATACAGAGATTTCAGGAGAATAACAATCAGCTGAGAACGCAATATAATGCCACAGACACGACCCTTGGAACGATCATTCTAATGGTGGAGAAGAAAATTTTTGTTATTAAATAGATTTTGAATTTTCAAAATTTCCGACTGCACACTTACCCCCACAACATCATCAACAACAGGAAATCCATTGTGTTTATAGCGATTCAAAATATCATAGATATATTTCGATTTATCCCTTAGTTTAATGCACACTACCGGCGAGCTCATTATGTTCGAGGCCTTTAGGCCCATATAGTGTGGTAATGGTTCCCATGGCAACATTGGTACATGATTCACTTTGACTTGTATATCATAGATGCCCTCGTTGAAATAATCACCCACCCATTTGGCACTAATCAGGGCAATTATCAACGGGAAGAAAAACGATGTTTCAATACCGGTGGTTTCCATTAGTATGACCGTTAAACTAATTGTCATGCGTAGAACACCACCCAAATTGGCAGCGGCTCCAATTAAAGCATATTTACCGGGATTTAAGAAGGTCTATTAAAAAAAGGAATTGAAATTAAAAAAAAAAAATAATAATTTTTTGAGTTGAAATAGTTTAAAACTATTTTTTAAAATTTTTTTTAAATTTAAAAAAAATTATTATTATTATTATTATTTTTTTGTAAAATATTTCAATTTTAAAAGTTTATTTTCCTTTTTTTAGAAAAAAAAATATTCAAAAATAACTTCGTTTTAAATAAAATATTGAAAAATGTGGTTTTTATATAAAAAAAATCAAAAATTAAAATATATGTTTTTTTCGATAAAATTAAATTTAAAAAAATAATATTTTTTTTATTTCGTTATTCAAATAATTAAGATTTAATAAAAAAAAGTTTTAAAGGTTTTTTTTAAAAAAATATATTTTTTTTTTGAAATTCACATTTTTTCAATTTTTTTTTTTTTTTTTTTGTTTGGATAAAAAAATTCAAAAATATCTTCGTTTTAAATAAAAAAATGAAAAAATCGTTTACTTACAGCCGTTGGAAATATATAATATGCCACCATTGCCACTAAACGTCCCCAGGCTGCACCTACCAAAGCAGTTGGTATAAAAACGCCCAGGCTTACATTCAAACCGAATGTGAAACAGGATAATAGAAAATAGATCAATGTGAACAGGGTTAAGGTTAAAATTTTATGGGAACCTAGAAAACAGTTTAAACAAATTAGTTTAAAAAAAGAAAACATATATTACAAAAAAATACCTGGAGGATCATGAAACAATGAACGAACTGTGGCTTCGGGCGTTTGGAACCACAAAGCGGCCACAGCATTATATTCGTTATCCTCACAAAATAGCTAAAAAAACAAAACCACATATTTAATAAAAATTCTTAATTCTTTTTTTTTGCCTCACCTGTGTTGGATAATCTGTCGGATCATTACCCAAGGGACGACAATCATTAATCAAATAAACCATAGTGCAGGCCAACGATACACCCATGATGGCCACTAAAACGGCTTCCAAAACTTTGGCAAATTTAAATTTAATGAATCTTGAACGAAATTTATTAATTTTGGTATTCAACATATTCCATGTGGCGCCCAAGAGACCACCCGTTATACCGAACAGCATAAATATGGGTAATTCGTAATATTCGAATGTTAGCGGTTGTTCGAATTTGCCCAAATTAAATAGGCCCGTAAATGTAAAATCACCCAAACCATGGTAGGCGGACAGAACAATATTCAACGTAAACGAACTGATAATTGATGCAATCAATGTACGCCATATTAAATTTTGATTCCAGAAACTTGCTGCCTCTTCCAATGAGAATAACATACCACCAATTGGTGAGCCAAAAGCAGCGGAAACGCCAGCCGCTGCACCGCCCAAAACAAAATCCCGCTTCTCGTGGTCATCACGAAACGCTTTGAAAATACGAAAATCTTTAACAAATGTTGTACTTTTTCCCTGTGAGATTCCAGCTGCTACAACGGCACCAGCATGTATCATTGGACCTTCCTGGGGGTAAGGAAATTAATTGTGTCATTGTAAAATTGTAATTTCAAATATATAGTAGTATACCTTTCCTCCAGCAAGTCCACCCACCACCGATGTTATTACGCCAATACTCTTCACGGCCAATGTCTTGATGCGCACAATTCGTGGTACCTTGACGCCATTTAAATAACTTTTCACCTGCGGTATACCACTGCCAGCAGTAATGGGTTCAATATAAGTAACCATTGTGGCACCCAATGCCACAGGTACCATACTTAAGGCTAACCAATATAAATAGGGTATGACTAAGTCACCAGTTGGATTATCCTGATGAGGTACATTGGCATCGACAGCTACAAGAAGAAAATTAAGATGTTGATTACAGGATTAGTTGGTTGGAATGGTTTGAAAAAATATATATAGAATAGGAGAGAGAAGGGATATGAATTACCGGCGTAAGTTTTGTTGAAATCGGTTCAGATTTAGATATAACTCCCACACATATTTTCTTTCGATTTGCACGAAATTCCGCACAGCGTGTGGAAGTAGGTTTAGAATTATGTGTGTGAAGTTTCGGGTAAATCGGTTCAGATTTAGATATAGCTACCATATATATTTTCGTCCGATTTAATGTAAATATCTTTCGATTTGCACGAAATTTCGCACCGCGTATTGAATTAGGTCTAGAATGATGTGTGTGAAGCTTCGTGAAAATCGGTTCAGATTTAGACATAGCTCCCACACATATTTTTTTCCGATTTTGTGTAAATGGTGCATTAAAGCCCCTATATTCTTTCGATTTACACGAAATTTTGCATAGCGTACTGAATTGGATCTGGAATGATGCGTGCTAAGTTTCGTGAAAATCAGTTCAGATTTTATATAAATGCTGCACTAATGGCATTAAATATTGCTCCGATAGCGATAGAACTTTGCACAGTGTACTTTTCCACCCAGTGGGAAACAAAAATACCTAATTATAGGTGATTTGTTAATAAAATTTTCTGTAGTTACGCCCATTTGCATTTATTATGACGGTATATATAAATATGAAAAAATAATTCTAATGCGTTCTACATCAGCTTATCACAAAGTAATAAATATTCCAATACTATAAAATATACTATACATGTATATTCATATACCATTACTCACCGTGTTTAAGAAAATCATATTTCAAGGCGGACAGTTCCTCAATAACAATATCGATGGCACAGGCGATCAAGGCGGTTATAATACCAATTTGTATGAAAATTATCCAACGTAGAATATCTTTGCGTAAAGAAAACCGAGTGCTGCTAATACGTTCCTGTTCTTTGAGGAACAACACATTTTCACAAACATCATAATCCAAACTCTGCGCAATTAAAAAGAAAATAAAAAGATAATTTGAATTTGAAACCCATTATTCCTACCACAATCTAATTCGGACCTACCTCATAATTTTCACCTTGATTGGCAATATTATTTTCATTAATTGCCGAGGTGCGGGAACGTATTCGAAATGTGGGATTCTGTTGTTGTGGTTGTTGTTGGGGCAATGTAGTATTGGACAAAGTGCTAGTCACCGGTTGTGTGGTGGTTGTTACATTGGCCGATGTTGTTGGTATATTATCCCCGACACTGCGATCTATATTAAGGGGATTCTAAAAACAAAAATCTTTATTACAATAGACTGTTGGAAATGATGATTCATAGATTTTTTACAATTACATACCATTATGGTACCCACACTATTGTCTTCATTGTTCTGTTTATTTTGTGATAAATTGTTGAGTTTTCTTTCCGAACTGCTGCTGCCTCCCTTTGTTCCAATAGTTTTCAATATGGGATTTTCGACGTTATTATCTATACTAACCGAAAGTAATTGCTCATCGTCGGATTGATCAACATCACCACCACCACTGGTACTTGGAATATTTACATTATTTGTGGGAGTAGACAATGTATTATCGTTGCCAGCCTCGCTACTGTCATCCAATACAATCAGAGGTTTTTCATCGATTTTCGGTTTCATTTTTGAGTGAGTTTTCCATAAATGTATATTTTCAATCTAGTTTAAATCTTTTTTCTAATCCGCAATAGAATCTACAGGCTGCTCCGCCAAAGTTGGGACTTTACACAAGTTTTGCTGCAATTTCCATACGGATGATGCACTAGGGCCGGCAAATACCTGATGACACAAATATCGAATGTTGTATTATCGATAGCATCATTCTCAGGCAGAGTAAAGGCCCATTTAGACTATGAAATTCCCTCGAATTCAAATGAAATAAGAAAATCCTCAGTATCGGTATAGGAAATTTGTTTTTATAGAGAAATAGCGATGCTGATTGGATTTTTCTATAGAAAAATAGTCCTCAGCGGTATTGGAAATTTTTTTCTATAGAAAAATAATCCTCAGTACCGCGAAAGATATATAGGGACTTTGGTTCACCATTTACATTAAATCGTACGAAGTATATATAATAGCTATATCGAAATCTGAACCGATTTTCACGAAACTTAAGACGCATCATTTTAGACCCAATTCAGTACGCTATACCAAATTTCGTGCAAATCGAAAGAAATATAGTGGCTTTAATGCACCATTTACACAAAATCGGAAAAATATTTATGGGAGCTATATCTAAATCTGAACCGATTTTCACGAAATTTAACACACATCGTTCTAGACTGAATTCAGTACACTGTGCTAAATTTTGTGCAAATCGAAAGATATTTAGAGACTTTAGTGGACTATGGAGCTATATCTAAATCTGAAACGATTTTCACGAAACTTGACACACGTCACTCTGAGGATTTTTTTTCTATAGAAAAATAATCCTCAGCTGAAAAAATTCCGCTGATGATTATTTTTTATAGAAAAAATTCCTCAGATCCGCTGATTATTTTTCTATAGAAAAAATTACTCAGATCCGCTGAGGATTATTTTTCTATAGAAAAAATTCCTCAGATCCGTTGAGGATTATTTTTCTATAGAAAAAATTCCTTAGATCCGCTGAGGACTATTTTTCTAAAGAAAAAAATTCCTCAGATCTGCTGAGGATTATTTTTCTATAGAAAAAAAATTCCTCAGATGCGCTGAGGACTATTTTTCTACAGAAAAAAATTCCTCAGATAGGCTGAGTATTATTTTTCTATAGAAAAAAAATCCTCAGATCCGCTGAGGATTATTTTTTTATAGAAAAAAATTCCTTAGATCCGCTGAGGACTATTTTTTTATTGAAAATTAATCCTCAGCGGTAGCTAGGATTTTTTGTATAGAAAAATAGCCCCCAGCGTGCCTGTATAAATCGTAAAAAATATTCTTTGAAAAAATATTTTTATAGTTTTTTGAAAACCCCAAAAACGAATTCTTAAATACAAATTTTAATATAACTTGTATTATGTTTAAGATACATATATATATAGAAAACAAATAAAAATAGATGTGAAAGAAAAAATAAAACATATTCGCTTTCAAATTTGTTTATGTTACACAATTAAAGATACCCTTAGATATATACTACGATATTTCTGGAATCACCAATTAAATTGAAAACCAGGATTAAGAAATTTAAATTTTGCTATATCCAAAAACATACGATTTGATTCAATTTGATTGCGTATATTCATTTCATGTTGTATATCACGTAATGATGTTTCAACATGCATTAATAATTCTTGCCATTTTTGGGCAATACTGTCAGCTACAGTGGTGGTGGTGCCTCCTCCTGTGGTGTGATTACCAGACGGTGAGTTATGAAGATGATGAGAACCAGCTCTTTTATCATGTGTTGTTGTTGCAGTGGTGTTGGAATTTTGAGATATATTTATGCTAGAATTTGAAAATATACCCGAATCGTTGTTTAATGTCAAATCAATGGCTTGTTGTTCGGGTGCAATTAACAAGTCCTCCGGCTTGATTATGGACAATGTATGCTGCTGCTGAGATTGATGTATTGATGGATTGATATATGGCTGATATGTTGATGATGAAATTGTTTCCATATTATATTGTTGATTAATATTTGAGGCATTATTATTGTTATTATTATTGAGAGATGAAAAAGAACTCAAAACACTGGGCGATACGGATGATGTGTGTGTAATAGTCGTTGACAAATTCCTGTGTAGATTTTCATAGAGATATTCATTGTTATTACTATTGTTGTTGTTGTTGCTTCCATAATCTGTTGCAATTTGTTGTTGTTCTTGTTCTAGTTGTTGGCCAGAGGAAATATTGTTATTTATATCGTTAGTAGTAGTTGTTGTGGGAGTGATGTTGGAACTCTTGAGTAAAAAAACAAAAATAGAGATAAAAAACAGTTATTTTAATTTAAACTTGAAACTCAAAACAAGGGGGAAAAGAATACTATAGTATTTATTTACCGATAGTTGTTGTTGCTGCTGCTGCTGTGACATTTGGGAAGATGAGTGACTTGGCATACTACTCTCAGTCGTCTTAAGGCTGTAATTAATGGGACCCTCAGGCGACGGATGGTCATTGGATGCAGTTGTTGAGAGCTGTCCACCTTCTCCTCCTCCTATAGGCAAGACAACATAATCCACATTATTCCACTAAAAAGAATAACAACAAAAACCAAATGAAAAAAGAACGTAAACAAAACAAAATTTGTTTTCAATGTCCATGAGATATTTGAAATAACACAAAAAACTAACGGTAAATGAATATTACTTTTTTCATTAACATACATTATGCATTCCGGCTGCTTCTCGTTGTTGCATTTGATGTCGTTGAAACACAGTTTTGATTTTCAATTTGTGTGTTTGCAACATACCCAAGTCTGTGGCAGTATTTAGGGACTGTTGCAATGCTGTAGTTTCGTGAATTTTCATCATTTGATTTGCTTCCTCTTTATTTTGTTGCAGCGATGTTGTGGGGGGTATGGAAGTCGTCACCATATTTGGTGAATGTATTCTGTTGTTGCGATTACTGCGTGATGTTATTTTACGATTACGCATCAAACGATCACGCCTTTCCAATAAGGCATTGACTTTCATGTCGTGCAATTTTTCCAATAAATCGGGGTGACGACGCTAGTAAAAACAATAAACACGTTATATAGGGAGTTTTTCTATAGAAAAATAATCCTCGGCGGACATGAGGAATATAAAAATATGCCCCAGCGGACGTGAGGATTTTTTCCATAGAAAAATAATCCTCAGAGGACCTGAGCAACTTTTTTCTATATAAAAATAATCGTCAGCGGACCTGAGGATTTTTTTTCTATAGGAAAATAATCCTTAGCGGACCTGAGGATTTTTTTTATAGAAAAAATAATTCTCCGCGGATCTGGGGAATTTTTTTCTATAGAAATTTAGTTTTCAGGGGACCAGAGGATTTCTGTTAATTTCACAACTTACCTTAATATGCATATGAAAATTACCCGTTGATCGAACACTCCCCCTATAAACACGATCCGGTGGACAATGACAACATTTTACAGTTACATTTTCACCATCTTGGGTTTGAATTTGATACAATTCGCCATTTAAAATATAGGGAATGTGAACGTGACGCAGCTGTTGTTGTTGTTGCAATTTATTGGAATCTTCCATACTGGCTATATTGGAATATCCCTGATGATTGAGCATAATAATATTAGTGGTTGTAGGGTTATTGTGACCAATAGCCGTTAGAGGTGGGGGTGGTGGACCAATTTGGACATTATTATTTGGATTTATGTGGAATGTCGGAGGTTGAATTTGCTTTTCCGATGGTGTTTTGTAATTTTTCATCAAAACACCACCTGTACCAGCACCTGTAACATTGACTCCAATGCTGGACGAGGATGATGTTGTTGTCGCCGCTCCAAGCACTTGAGTTTGTGGCATTACCTCGGCCGATTTTAATAGTTCCGAAATCATGGTCGTATCATTTGAAGTTTCCTCACAAGATTCATCAATGCTATCCATTTAAAAATCGGGAAAGCGGATCAAAAAAAAATTAGATGATGAATTGCGCCAAATCTCCACTCCTCAATGAACAGCGATGAACGAACGAATGAACGAACAAGTGTCTGTCATCTGAATTAGAATTCAAAAGATGTGATTTTGGGAGCGATGATGTTGTCAAGCTCCGTTGTTTTTGGCGTAGCGAAATATCACTCACACACCACAAATGATGTAGCGAGATTGTTGTTGTAATTTTTCCTTTTTTGCTGTTTCTTTTCTATTATTTACATACCTATATCAAACTCCATCTTTCTGTTTCTCTGTTTTTTATTTTTGTTTTTTTTTTTCAGATTGGGAGAAGTTTTTGTTGTTCTCGGAATTCTCACCATCTCATCGATGAGGATTTCTTTACTCACACAGCAACAAAACCAACATGCATCCAATAGGCACGGAATTCTGAAACCGTTAAATTGCAAAAAAAATTAAAACATTAGGGGTATTCGGCTTTTTTGCATCGTATTATTGTAGTGGGATTTAGCGGCGGAATACAGGGTGTGTCAGGTAAACTTTTTTGGAACAAGTTTTGAGATTAGTCGTGAAGGTTAGTTTTTATAGAGACTTTAAGCAGAATGAACAAACCACGGAAATCCAATACCATGGGGAATTTTTTTCTATAGAAAAATAATCCTCAGCGGAAATGAGGATTTTTTTTTATAGAAAAATAGTCCTCAGCGGACCTGTGAAATTTTCTTTCTATAGAAAAATAGTCCTCAGCGGACCTAAGAATTTTTTTCTATAGGAAAATATGCCTCAGCGGTCCTGTCCTGCCAGAGATATGGGACCAGGGATGGTCCGTGTGACGAATTTTTTGGTTTTCGACTGTCAAAAAGGTGTAAACGTCGAAAACGTCATATACCTGTATAAAATGTAATAAATGTAGTAAACGTCATTTATTTCAATATTATCAGCATATACAGTTATTTTCAAGAATACATATTATTTTTACATATATCTCACTATCCCTTGCTAGAACTGGTAAAAATTACTAAATTTTTTTGAGAAGAAAATTTTGAAATTTTATATTAATTTGAGCTAAGCATGCGTAATATCCAGATTGATTAATGGAAATTGCTATTTTGTCAAAAACCTAAGTGATTTGGGTAGGTTTCCGACGTTTCTGACGTATGTATTATACGTCGGAAATGTATGTCATTTACGTCACTGTTTCTGACAGGCCATCTCTGTTTAGGACCTTCTCCTATGGACAGGTGGCAGATCCGGCTACATGATGGCATCTCCTTTTAATTTGAATAGTCTTTTTTATAATCAGGACGCTTTAAATTGATACCCATATTGCCTCAGTAAAACCTTTAAAAATCGTGGGAAAATATAAGGGTCCCAACGGAACTTTGGAGGCCATATCTTCGGAAGTAACGAAGACAATCTAATTGAAAAATGATGCGAAGAAAAACACAAGAAAAAAAAGTATAACATTGTAATCAGCGCCCCAAGGACTACATGTGGTAAAAATTTTAAAACGATCCTCGAGGGGGGCCCTAAACTATAAGCCCTTCCAAAACCCCCGTAAAATATTGGGTAACCATTTTTTGGAATAAAAACAAAATATTTTTTTTTGCTACTGGCAATGCCACGTAAATCGACATCCAAAATCGATTATTCGATTTCCCCGAAAAAAAACACGAAATCGGTTTTTTAGATAATCGACTAGACGAGAGTCGACTTTGCTGTCAGTTTTGGAATAACTCGTATAAGGTACTGATTTTTTTTTGCCGAAGTCTCTGCCGATTATTTAATAATTGAATAATTTGTATATTTTGTTTAGAATTCAAAATGGCTTTCGGTGATTATCCAGCTGAATACAATCCTAAGGTGCATGGTCCCTATGACCCAGCTCGCTTTTATGGCAAAGGTAAGTTTTCGGCCTGGTAGAATGAATATTTTCATTACGTAATTTACGATATTTTTGCAGCTGATGTTCCATTCGGCCAGGTTAAATTGGGTGAATTGGGAGCTTGGTTCGGTCGCCGCAACAAGACCCCCAGTGCCATTGCTGGCGCTTTCAGTCGTGCCTGGTGGCGTTGGAATCACAAGTACGTGCAACCCAAGCGTGCTGGTATTGCTCCATTCTTCCAGCTCACAGCTGTGGCTATGACATTCTTCTATGCCATTAACTACGGCAAGTTGAAGCACCACAGAAACTACAAATACCATTAAACGGACGAATCCTTTGGTGGTAAAACACACAGAAATTTGCCCACGTTTAACATGGGTTTCTTTGGAAGAGGGAGTTCTGAATTCGTCTTTGGTGTTATTCCGAATAATTGTCTATCAGCTGCTGATATGTTATAATCGTATTCAAATGTTTAAAACAAATTCATAAAACAAAAATTCTTATAGAAGAAAAAATTAAAAAACCATAAAAAACCAAAATTGAAAATAGATTTATTTTTATTAATTAAAAAATAGTGGAGTGGAGTTTATATAAAACATATAGCCGCCGGAGATTACAAGCTGCCAAGTGGGAAAAATATAAACATAACCTAGAAATCGCAATGCAAATTTGTTGTTGTTTTCAAAGGCAGGTAATCGGTTACTTAACCGCAATGTGTAGAGTGACAAAAAAAAGCACCACTTGCTAGTTGTATTTGGTCCAGAACGTAGGACAACAATTATTTGTGTTGAATTATTTTTTTATTTATTTTTGTGATCTTCAAATCATGTTAAAAGTGGCGGATATTGAAAACATGCTAAAGGATATACCCAGTGGTTATTTGAAACCCGATCATGATTTATTTACCAGCACCAATACTGCCATTATTTTGCCCTATAAAAAACTTGGAGCCATTAACAGTGCCGACATAGATAAACAGCTGGAAAAAGAACCCGATAAAGGTCAGAACAACTCATCGGAAATATTCTGCAATGTTTTAAATTGTAAAATGGTTTTCGATAATGTGGCCTCCTATACGCTGCACTATAACAGTATGCATCGTTTCATATGCCAGGAATGTAAAAAATCCCTACCGACAGAACACTTGTTGGACTTGCATATATCGGAAATACATGATTCGTATTTTAAGGCACGTTTGGATCGGGGTGAACGACTGTTCAAGTGTTATGTGGAGGAGTGTAAAGAAATGTTTTCCAATGCCATTGAGAGGAAGAAGCATTGCATCGAGGCACATAAATTTCCCGCAAATTTTCGTTTTGGCCAGGTTATACCACCAATGAAACATACAACTAAAGAAGAGGTGAAGATTAGTTCCGAATCATCAAATGTCATGGAAATGGGAGAACATGTGGCAGAGGTCGCTAGTGGTGGTTCTACAAATGATAATACCATAAAACTCTTTTCCTTTGGCCATCAACGAGAGAAGACATTCCAATTGAAAAATGATTCGACGAAAGGCAAAAGTGGTCAGGGTAAAGGTTTGGATAGTTTTAGTTTATTAAAAGATGCTCTTGATATGGATGTATCCAAGTAGTCGGATTCAGGATTATTGAATATGCAAGGAAAAACCCCGAAGAAATTGTATTTTATGAAATTATTATTTATTATTGAATATATATATATATACTATTCTTCGTATGTGCATAAAACCATATTTTTTATTTTTTAAGAAGTTAGTTATTTTTGTAAATCAATGCTTAAGAAAATTATAAAGTTAAGAAAAGTACTAAAGGGTATGCTCATTTATAGAAATGGATCTGAAATGAATAACATTAAAAAGAAAACTAGTAGCAAACTCACACTTTTTATTGGGGATAAAGTAAGGGTTTAAGTCTAGTTTAGGACCCCCGCGAGGATCATTTTCAAATTTTTACTACATGTGGTCCGAAATAAGTCGCGAATATATACTCCTACAAAGTTCCATCGGGAGCCTTGGGAAGTTTAATTTTTGTAGAGTTTTGTTTAGCCAGAGTTTTGTTTCGTTTTACTTGTCTTAAGAGTCGAAGATGTTTGCTACATTTTACTGTTCAAAGCTCACTTCTGCTCGTCTTTAAAAATTCCCTTTTGATCGTCTATACCTTCTCCACCACTATAAAGGCTACCTTCAGCTTGCCTAAAAAGAGACATTTCATGTCGCCTCATACGAAGTTAGTAAAAAAATAAACAAATTATATAGGTATTTTTCTCCTCAGGAAAATAACCCTACTTCTCGGAATAGAAAAAATATCTATATATATTTTTTATTTCAAATTCCACTAAATTTTGAGTTCATTTCTAAAAAATTGGACAATTTGCGGTTATGGAATTTTTTTCTATAGAAAATATGCCTATCGGACCTGAGTTATATGTTTCTAGTTTAGAGCCCTTGCTTAAGAGTTTGAAACTTTTACCACATGTAGTTCTTAAATAAAATGTAAATTCTATTTTATGAAATTATATATTTTTATTAATAATCCACCACTATAAAGGCTACCTTCAGCTTGCCTAAAAAGAGACATTTCATGTCGCCTCATACGAAGTTAGTAAAAAAACTCATTATATAGGGATTTTTTTCTATAGGAAAATAACCCTCGACGGAGCTAGAATAGAAAAATATGCCTCAGCGGGACTAAGGAATTTTTTTATAGAAAAATTTGCCTCAGCGGACCTGAGTAATTTTTTTTTTGTATAACTTTGAAAATATGTTAGGTTTGTTAAGGTTGCACTTTCCTAGCGACACAGGAGATGCTCAATTGTCTTCGTCTCCCCCTCCTCGTCAGAACAGAGTCTGCTAGTTTAGAGCCCTCTCGCGGATCTTTTTGAAACTTTTACCACATGTAGTCCTTGAGGCCCTGATTACAATGGTATCATTTTTTTCTTGTGGAAATCGGTATTTTCGGACGAAGTTCCGTTGGGGCCCTTGTATTTTCTCATGATATTTAAAATTTAACTAAACTTGTTTCCCTTCAGCTGATCTATGAAAGACTCCCTTCAGATGGTATATACTGACTCCCCCATCAGTTCGTCAAATGAAGACCCCTTTGACCAAATGAATAAAATGTAAATTCTCTTTTATGAAATTATATATATATTTTTTAATAATGGAATACATAGAAAACATATTTTAAAGTTAGGTTTAGGTTTTTTTTTTGGAAATTAATAGAAATTATGAACCCCAGAAGAGAGTTAAAGAGTACGCTCATTTGTTTTTGGAAATAGATCTGAAATTAGAGAAAAAATTATTAAGAATAAAATGTTTTTGCTGGCAATAAAATAAGTTTCCGCTGACTATTGTAAAGAAGTCCTAGCCTAGAGAACGAATAGTAATGCAGTTAAGTTCAGACAGGTCAAATAAATTATATGGCTGCCATTAACGGTACAAAATATAGTGATATAATTGTTTTACTCTTGAGACCCATGACTTTTAAATTCAAGACAATGTCGATCAAATGCTAAAGTCAAAGCCATCGAAAAAGATTCTCATTTTTGTATAACTTTGAGGCAAGTATGCTATGTTAGGTTAGGTTTGCTAAGGTTGCACTTTCTTAGCGACACAGGAGATGCTCAATTGTCTTCGTCTCCTCCTCCTCGTCAGAACAGAGTCTGCAGTAATTAGAGTAACACCATGGTCCCATATTTACTGGTAAAGGACCTGATATTGCAATGACCAGTAATGACTCCTGTCATTACTCTTATTTTGAGCTTTGCTCAGGTTCAACAGTGAGAAATTTGTTTTCTTGGTTGACAACACAGTCGGCCAGATAGATCTTGACACATTGCACATATGTTTGTTGTGCCAGACAGAGTTCATTGCCTCGTTCGTCGAAGAAAGCCTCAAAATTCCAAAAAAAAAAAAAAAAATTGACATGGGTGGTTTGATTGAGCAATCGATTGCTAGATAGCTGTGTTTCCAAAACTGCTCTATACTCGAGGACGACCTCAGATTTGATATTACAGAATTCGATGGCTTTTAAAGCCGCCTGACTATCCACGAAGATAGTCACCGGTTCAACGATCTCTGCATGCACACTTTTTTTTATCAATTTCGGTGTCTTACAAATAACGAAGATTTCAGCTTGGAAAACAATACAGTTGCTATCCAGCTTGTAAGTAAGCTCAAGGCCTAGCTTTTCACAGTAGACGCCAACCCCCTGTACCTTCTTCCATCTTGGATCCGTCTGTACAGAAAAGCCAGACCGCTCAAAGGAGGGTTGCTACGGTTCAAGTAGCCTCTAATAGGGATAACGACATCTACTATATCGTCAAATCTCAGGACTGGTGATATATAGACGCTTAGTTTTACGCGTTGGTCCAATGTCATACCTAGTTCGTTATAATCGAGACGGCTCTTTGTACCTTGCCTACTTTGCAGGATATCGACTTGTGGCGTACGCAGTGCCACCAAACAAGAAAACCAAATACGCCAGAGTCTGAGGATGATTCAGAAGAAGCCATTTATATTTCAGTAATATCCGTAGCACACCAAATATAGAAAAATCTGAGAATCTTTTTTCTTAGGTCTAAAAACTGTTTTTTTTTTCAATGCGCCATAGCTGTAGCGGCTGACATGATGTCGATCTTGGCATTGCCTCCAAATTAAAATATCTAGGCTTGTTGGGGATAAATTTATCGGATAAATTTCTTCCAACAAATTCCCATTACAAAAATCACGCATTTCTATAAATTTCCATACGCCCAACAGAAGTACCTCCACCTACTGTTTAAAAATCTTACGAGTGGAAACTTATTTTTTTAACTACCCCATAATTTTGTTGTACACCTACTTGCTGTTGGAATTGGCGTTGATGTAGTGATATAGCACCACCAACAGGAACAGGAAAACACCCAGAACATTGGAGAAGATAGCCAATTGTACGTCAGTAATCATGATGCTCAACAAACGGAGATCTGTAAAAACCGAATGGACACGTCATTAAACATTAAGAAAACACAAATTTAATTAATAAAATTACAGTTATACACAATGGAATTTATATACAGAATTAAACAAATTTGTATTATATAAAAAAAGAAAACTATTTATAAAAAAACTAACTTTTCTGTATTTGTTTTTACACAATATATTTAATAATTTTGCTTAGGGCCGGTAAATAGTGGCTATAGTATGGCAATGGCAAACAAAGTTAAAAGCGTTCCACCTTCTTCTTCTTGTACGCTATGTCACAAAGTTTTGGAAATGATAACACAACACAATGCTGCATGGAAGTATACAACACGAAGACGTTATTTGAATAGAAAAAACGAGGGGATAATTATGGGACTGGATACATGCTGTGTATGTTTAACCGATATTTGGTAAAAATTTTTTTTAACCAAATGTTACTAAATATTGTCTATTTACTCCAGTAAAAGAGAGCGAAAAGAGAGCTATTACGACAATTCTACGCTGAGAATTTACTGAACGTTACTGGGTGGTAAAATTCTTCTAGTAAGACTTACCTGCAGTTGTTCTCGTTGAACATTTATTATTGAATGTGCCACAGCAACAGGGTGCGAAGACTGATTAAAATACACTCTTTCTCACGAATTCTCACGGGTGAACTCGAATGTTTTCAATTTATCGGGAATGATAAAGTTACAATGAATGAACAAGCATTTGCATTCTCTCGCGAATGTTCGCATTGTACGAAAAATTCAGGAACGATAACATTTCGCTGCAAGCGTCATCGATTCGTTTTGTCGCGAGAATTTGTTACTGAAGAACATTGTTTTGAAAAACTCTAAAAACAAATGTTAGCGAATGCTCGCGAGCTCTGTTAAAACGACAACAAACAAAAATATCATAAACAGACAATTCTGTTCTTATTAATGTAGTATCAGCAGCGGCGATTGCCTGTCTCATTGGGTCTATTAGTTTTTTGGTGTCGAAAAACATTCGTATACAGAAGTTGATTTGATTTTCTACTTGCTCGCCTTCACACGCCGGCGACTTGCTCATCAACCTTATTTATATTGTTAATATAGAAGCTTATTGGCTCGAATCGTTTCTGCGAGTCCAGCTATTTCTACAATCCAGCCGAAATCATGATGATTATTGTAAATGCCGAAGCAATGTCTTGTGATGAGACGTTCCAAGACACAGAGCTGATGATCGTCGATGATTATGACAACGACCTAGCAGATTTAGAAATGTTTGAAATCATTGAGGTAGATGGATAAGGCCAAAAATTGCCAATGGATATTGACTAGTCCGAATGAATGTCCTCTGCACTTTCATATTCCGGTTGTCAAGTAGTGGTGCCGATGATGGCGATTTTGGTTTTTATTTTTTTTATAACGGGGTCTTCCGGTGGAATTGATCTTTTTACATTTGTAAAAACGCTTTGAAGCACTTTTTCTCGTCCACTGGCATTCTGACTTGAGACTGCACGCCTTCACTATTTGACTGCTTCTATTCATTGACGATTGATTCAATTTATTTTCCAAATTACTATTATATTGTACAGTATATCTATGTGATACACCAGAAATGAAATTGGTCCTCCACCTGCATTCCCAAACATGCAGACGACTCGTTCATCAACGACTTATTTCCTTCACAACTGCATCTAGTTATTTCGTTACTATTATATAGTAAACTTTATCGAATTCGTTGGTCGTAGTATTTCATCACACCCTGACGACTTGCACATTAGCGAAAGTTTTATATCCAGATAAATTTGTGTTTATTTATATTGTTGGTATATTATCGATTGGTTCCTTGTGTCGAAAGTGTTCGTATTCAGAAGTTGATTTGACTTTCCACTAGCACGACTTCACACGCTGACGACTTGCTCACCAACCCTATTCATATTTTTATATAGTAAACCGAAATTATGGTGATTATTGTAATACTGCCAGCAACTGTTAACGTAGCTGTGGTACATTCCAATGCAGTTGTTCTCGATGAACATTTACTCTCAACACAAAACAGCAACAGGTAGTAAATATTGAAGCAATTCCTTGTGATAAGACGACGACTCAAGTCATAGGGCCTATGGTCGTCGATTAAGATGTCGACGAACAACTAGGTCTTGGTCACACCACGACAACTTGCACATTAGCTAAAGTTTTGTGTCCAGATACATTTGTGATTATTTATATTGTTAGTATAGTATCTATCGGCAGCGATTGCACGTCTCATTGGGTCGATTGGTTCCTTGTTTGGAAAGTGTTCGTATTCAGAAATTGATTTGACTTTCCACTAGCCGAACTCATGGGAATTATTATAACACTGCCAGTTAACGTGGTTCTCGATCAACATTTACTATCGAATGTGCCGCAGGAACAGGTTGAAGCTATGTCTTGTGATAAGACGACGAATCACGTCATTGAGCCGATGGTCATCGATGATGTGGACGACGACATAGCAGATATTGAAATGTCTGAAATCATGGAGATAGATGGCGATGAAGTTCGATAGCTACACCTATGTTTGTAATATAAATTATAACGAACCACCTTATTATTTAATTGTTATATATATACACACCAAATTTAACTTCCATACTATTTAACCATTAATCATTCCTATCTCCAAATAATTGGGTCAACTTACAAAATGCTCCATTCAAAAGCTATGTGACAAATATAATGACAAATAAGCATTTATTTTAAGTTCAAGCACTTTGTAAAATTAAATTCGAAATCATCCATTCCAAAGAGCCATAGTAACTAACAGTTCTTCGGAATTATAAATCTTAAGCTAAGCATTATTCTTAATTAAAAATCATATAGAAGCATCAATAATAATAATTGTTAAAAGTCAGTTATTGTTTAATTTGAAATAAATTGACATCGCTCAAAAATAAAACCGTCTTTTTTATAACAAAGAAATCGGTAATGTAAAACTGTGAAGCTGAGAATTTGCTTGACTATGATGTTGACTAGTCCGAATGAATTTTCTCTACACTTTTATATTTCGGTTGGCCAGTAGTAGTGTCGATCATGGCGATTTTGGTTTTTATTTTTTGCTTGCTGGCAAGGGGGCTTTGGTTCGTTTTAATGTGATGAGAATATACACCTTTTGTGTATGCGAAAGCCACATTGTCGTCGACTGGCATTCTCATCCGAAACTGCATGCCTTCGCTCGTTGAATGCTTCCACCCTTTGTCGATTCAGTCTTATTTCCTTTGGAAGTGCGTACATTTATTTTGTTACTATTATATAGTACAGTATATCGAAATTGGTCTTCCACCGACATGCCCTCACATGCTGACAACTCGTTCATCAACGACTTGTTTCATTGGCAAGTGCGTCTATTTATTTTGTTACTAAGTAAACTTTATCGAATTCGTTGGTCGTAGTATTCAGAAGTTAATGTGGTTCCAAACTTGCATACCATCATTAAACCCTGACGACTTGCACATCAGCGACTGGTTGGTGTTTTTGTTCTTATTTATATTGTCAATATAGTAAGAGCGGATTGTCAGTTTCATTGGAACCAAATGTTTCTTGTATCGAAGCATTCGTATTCAGAAGATGATTTGATTTTCAGCTTGGACTTATTTATATTGTTAATATAGTAAGTTCTTGGCTCGAATAATTTCTGAGTGTTCTGCTATTCCTACACGCAACCAAGCACCAACCGAAATCATGATGATTATTGTAATACTGCCAGCAACCGTTAACGTAGCTGTGGTTTCTTCCAATGCAGTTGTTCTCGATGAACATTTACTATCAAATATGCAACCGCAACAGCTCGGAAATATTGAAGCAATGTCTTGTGATAAGACGACGACCCAAGACACTGAGCCGATGATCGTCGATGATGATGACGACGACCACCCAGCAGATTTTGAAATCATGCAGTTAGATGGTGGTGAAGCTGAGAATTTGCCAATGGATATTGATTGACTTGGCCGAATGAATGAGGAATATTCTTCTCAACACTTTGGTTTTTAATTTTTTGCTCGCCGCCAAGGGGTTCCGGTTATATATATATATTAAGGGGGGCGGAGGGGTATGGCGGGCAAGTCTTTTGGTTATAAAAATGTCCAAAATCGACTTTTCAGAAATATTGCTTGCCATCTAACTGGGTTCGAACTCGAGTCTCGTTGCATGGTAGACCTACACACTACTCACTGGTCCGTGCGCATATCCATAAACTCCTGTTACTAACGGTTAATAAAAATTGAATATTATAGGAATGCCTAAGTCGATTGTAGACAAATCTAAAAAGGCATTCTTAAGTCGATTTTTGTCTAGGTTAAAAATAGATTTTTAGCTACATTTAGACTGTGACTTCTAAATCGAGGTTCTAAATACCAGTTGCTTATGGTGTTTCTACACGATATGTATTTTACATATGCCAAAGTGTTTCTTTTGTCACTTTTTTACATTATTGAAATCGGGTAACTCGTCATGTTTACAAACATTTTTTTTTTACACAAAAAGTGATTTCAAAATGTTTGGTACGATATGCAATTAATTTTAATTTTTTCCCCAAAGGAGATACCTATGGCATTTAATGATACAGCTACATTATTCCACTTGTTATCCACTGAAATTTAAGGAAATCAGGACTGTTTGAATGAAACACATTTTTGGAAGAAAATATTTCAATTGCAATTCAATATAATTTTTTAAAAGGATATATAATTTTTTACAAACCATTTCAATATTGTTATTTTCCATATTGTAGGTGTTTAATAAAAACACAAATTGTAATGAACAAATACTTTTCTTTAAAATTTTTTTAAAGTGTTTTTTTTTTTGTTTATAGGTTTTTGTCATATGTAAATAACATATGTCGTTTTGTAACACACAAAAATAAATGTTTTGTGTACACTGCTAATTTTGACACACATAAGGAATTACATATGGATGAAATATGTGACAGCACATATGTAAAATACATATCGTGTAAAAACACCATTAGTGTGGATAGAATATTATGTAAATTTATTTTATTTTTTGAATTTAATTTTGTATGGTAAATCGGGGTAAATTCGGCTCGTTTTAGCGATTAAATCGAGGTAATAAATCATATCATGGTTGAGAGCAGTGCACATCGAATTCAAGTAGAAATTGCGCACTTTGACAGTTAATCGAGTCATCAGCTGCAATAAATGGACTATCTATTTATTGTGCAATGGTCATTCCTGTTGCAAAACTTCTAACTATTTGTCGATTTCCGTCTGTTGCCTAGCCACTAACGGCACCGCCTAATTTCGGCATTTTGAAGGCTTTAGCCGCACTTTCTTGACGAAGGGGGGCTGTAATTTGGCTTTAGTAGATTCACTCCCAATTATATACAGTATGTCAAAAATAAGTTTACACATTGAATAAATAATAAGTTTCTTCTCAATTTTCTTAGTAATAAACATGTTTTTTCATTAAAGTAATTTTAGGTTAGAAGGACATACACTTAGCCAGTTTAGGCCTGTTGTGCGCATCTGAGGTGTTCCGTAGAAATACACGTTAGTCTGCTAGTTTCTTTTTATTTTGCGTTATGATTTGCTTAGTTTTGTCTTCATTTGGGTCACCCCATAACATTTTCAAAAAGTTTTGTGGTTCTCATTCGCCCATGCCCTCATTTCTTGGCGCGTTGCGCTAGAGGGTTTGGCGGTATTCACATCTATTGTGGGTAGTGCACTGGCATTTATAGCTAGTTGTTTGGCTATATTGTTGCCTGTGACTGAGTACCCATATAATTGGTACGGGTCCACGTTGTGAGAAGTTAATAATGGTATTTATAAATTCCAACACAGTTTTGGATTTAACTATTTGGGAGGATATTGTATTTATAGCTTGTTTGCTTGTTTGCTGTGATTATATTTGTTGTATTTGGTCCTAGATTGTAACTTAACCAGTTAAGACACTCCGTTATAGCTTATATGTCTGCCCGTAGGATCGTGCTGTAATCTGTAAGGCGAAGAGAAATTTCATTACCCGGTTCTTCAATAAAAAAAGTCCCAGTCCAGTCTTTCCTTCTAGTTGAGAGCCATCAGTGTAGCAACAGTTACCAGCAGGCATCTGAACTAGATAATTCCGTAAAATTGTATGCAGTGCCTATTGAATACGGTTTACCGAGTGTCGAATTCATTTCATAGTCTTCTCTCGCTGTCAAGGCATTACATGAAAAATAAATTTAAATTGTAATTTTATCTGGCAATGTACATCTTCATTTAGTAATATATACATTACATTACATATAATCACATTTGTATCTACGTGCTACCTATAACTTTAGATTTCTTGGATGCTTCCCATTCACAGGAATGTGACTTCTTAATGTGAGAGTACATATTCGCCTTCGAATTAAACATTCTACTACAAAAGCGACAATTGTACAATGGTTCTCCTGTATGCCCGGCCATATGTTCCTATATAATTAGGAAAACAAAATTTGATCAATTATTAGAAAAATTAGAAGTTGAAGACAACCCGTGTACCTTTAATGTTTGTTGACTTTTGAAAGTCTTTCGACACTCCTCACAAGTATACACCTGGGTACTGTGGGTATTTTTCATGTGACACGCCAATGCATGTTTATTTTTACATATTCGCCCACACTGTGGACATTTATGCTGTTCGGTATCATGAAAACGTCGTAAATGTTGTCGCAAATTATCTTTGTCTTTTAGCCAACTTTCACAGCCGTCGCGGGGACATTTCAATCGCGGTCCACTCGATTCGAAATGTGAGCGTACATGCTTCTCGAATGCCTGTTTGTCGTGTATTTCCTTGGCACATACATGACAGATGTTGGTAGCTTTATAATGGCGATTTTTAATATGAATTTGTAGGATGTACTCGTTGGCAAAGCTAAAAAGAAAAAATATAAAAAAACAAGTTAGGTAAATAAATTGAACCAAAAATAAAAAAAAATGAATTTTGGCTTAAAATTAAAAGAAAATCAATCGCTCGGCTTTATCGAACTTTTTAAAAAATTCATCTAAAATCCGTCAAGATATTTATTTCTTGACATAATCCCCATGCCATTGAAAATTGTCTGTCAAAAATGTATCCTCTAAAGAAACGAAGATCGTCTAAGACTTTTAGCAAAGCTTTCAAAATACCGATACACCCCCTATAATGGTAAATACACGGTTATACGGGGTTATATCTAAAGACTATATCCAAGATCTATTAATAAGGTCACTCAGGTGGCAATCGAAATCGGAAAACAAGTCTATTGTCAAAAATTTGGACTTCGTTTACGTTTTCATAATGGAAGTCAATGATATTGACAGCAAACTTGAGTGACAGCTGATATCCAACTGGTCTCCCTGGACGACCTTATTTACAGGCATAGGCTCAAAAGATATTTTGCTGTTGATGTAACACCTTTTACTGTTGTGTATTTTCCCTAACATAACCTTTGTGCCTTTGAACCTCTCATAAATTATCCGCTTCTTTTAATTACAAATTGATTTACTTACGCCTTCTTTGGATTACAAATCACACAGTAATGTGAACGCTCCGTTTTCGGTACATGCTTTGCCCGGTGATGTTCCAATAAATTTTTCCTCGCAAATTTCCTCGAACATTGATCACACTTAAAGCTTAAATTTATTTCCGGTTCATGATGACGCCGATAGTGATCCTTTAGGGCGGTATTATTCATATATGTTTTTCCACATTCGTTACATTTAAAAGAATTCGGGTCTTCATGATAATAGGCATGCTGCAAGATATCCGACGGGCAATCCAATTTGCGTTCACAACATTTTATATGTGGTTTAGTATCCCCATGTTTTTCCTTATAATGCGCTACGATATCACAAAAATCTTCACTATAATACTGACATATTTGACAAAACATGCGAATATGTTTTTTAATCAATTCCGAATTCTCTTCAAGTAGGCGAAAATAATTTCGTCGTTGTTTCTTTGAAAGTTTTTGGGATTGCTTGCGATTGGAACGGGTGGTGGTGGTGCTGGCTTTTTTATTTGTTTCCTTATTGTGTAAATCTTTTGAAAATATCGCCAATGGTTTTGAGTCTTCACTGTCGCTATCTGAATCTCCAGCTGGCTGTGTTTCGTCTTCTGCATGAGTGTTCTTGTCCGTTATTATTTGTTGTCCTCCATTTGAGCTATCTATTCCATCGGTCTCCAAGGCAATATTTAAAAAAGGATCGTCGGTTAGTGTATCCTCCTCCGCTTCGAAGGGATCTGATCCCTCCAAAAATTCCTCCTTAATGGTGATATTATCATCTCCCACAATATTTCTTGCCACCGCCGTTCCCAGCTGAGCATGGGCTGCTGTTACATTTTCATAGAATTCATGAAAATCGGCCAATTTATTCCAGCAATCATCACATATTTCATTGTTATCTGTTGAAATGGGCTAAAGTTTTAAAGAATTATTAAATGATATTGAAAATATTATGTATGGAACTGCTACCAACCTTGAAATTCAAATGTTTTTCAATCATATACGAAATATTGTATTCCAAGGCATGTTTTCCAAAAATCGGTAATGTAATTTCCTTATTGTTCACTAAACATACAAAGCAAAGCATTGTTGTTGTTGTTGTATTTTTTAATTAATGTTTTTGTTGCATTCAGTTTTTTTTATTTTTGTTCTATTTATGCAGTCTGTTTGTTATATGTTTAATAAAGCAATCAGCTGATTTCATTAATACTACAATAGGTGTGTTCGTTTACTATATAATTTGTACAAAATACTGGATGTTGTTTGTTAACGCAAATGTTCATAAAAAAATAAATAGGCAAAAAAAAAAATAAATAAATAGGCAAAAACCACAGTGTTTGGGGCGGAATTTAAAGTGGCATGAGACACTGACACTGACACTGCCACCTTCACGGGTATAAATGTATTTCATGGGATTTTTGTGTATTGTATAGGTAGAATTGTCTCATATTTCGATATAGTTTTGATTAGTTTTTTTTTTTAATTCGGATAGCTGCATCTTTGTAGTATTTCACTAAGGCAATATATGCCCTAATGTCATTAGATTTTAGTATTATATCGATTGAAGGGTGATAAATTCCGAGTTGTTCTAGATTTTGCAATAAAGAACGTCTGGTATTTCGGTCAATGTCAGGGCAATTAAAGGTGATGTGGTACATAGTATGGATGTCAACACAATAACATCTATCGGAGCTGGTTATGTTATTTCTGAGGAATTGATGTTTCATCTGATTGTGGCCAAATCGAAGTCTAATTGTTGTTGTAGCGAGTAAACGAACGAACCTAATGTGCAGTGCATACATACATACGTATGTATGTGAGTTTGTATACGGCAAATCCGTCAGATGATTCGCAAACGCATATCTGCAATTGTTTATAACAAACAAAAACATTTATTAAAACAGTAACAAACATGTTATGCTGTGTGTGTGTCTGCAATGCATCCGGTGTTGCCATTGGTGTCTTTGGAAATATCGGAACCCAATTAAGCATAGCCCAGACAATCGATAAACACTTGTGGTTTAAGGTAAATAATCTCTCTGGAAGCAATTATTGCCTTGCCTAATCAATTCGTTATTTTTCCTCCCTTCCATCCGTCCTACCCCAACAAGCCCAAATCCAATGACAAAATATGTGAGAATTGTTGGAGAACCCTCAAAGAATTCCACGAATTCTATGAGACTGTCCAAAAAGCCCACAAACAATTGGAAGAAAATGAAACGGTGCTCATCAAAGAAGAAGAAGATGAAGGACATGCCCCAGAATCAGTAACAACAATTAAAGATGAATTCGATGAGCCATCGGAAGAAGAGAAACCACCAAATCAACTTGAAGTTGAAATGGAAACAAATCTAAGCAATATCGCAATGACGGCAAATGAAGTGGAAAAAAATCCTCTGGAAGATGATGACCACCATCATGGAATCATTGATGGCGATGTGGATGGCTATGATTCACAACATGATAGCCTCTATGATGCTGACTATGTAGCAGCATCATCAGCACCATCATCTTCTTCTTCGTCAAGTTCCTCAGCCGAGGACGATCATCAGCCAGTTGAAACCGGCACGACAAATGAAAAGATATCGAAAGTTAAACGGAAAAGGAGAAAACAGTCCATGGAAGAAAGTAAAAAAGATGAATCGATTGCACCGCGTAAGAAACGTAAAAGATTGGACCCCAAACTAACCGAGCAGATGATACAGAAACACATCTCGATGATATGTAATCTGTGTAATTTCGATTGCAAAACATTTGTAGAGGTTGGCAAGCACTTTAAAGAGTGTCACCCGAAAATAAAACCCTATATAATGTGTTGCAATAAACGTTTTACCCGGCGCCATTATATAGCACAACATGCCCTGCAACATGAGGATCCAAATTGTTTCAGGTATATATAACAAAACTAAATCGGGTTGTAACGTAGAATTAAAAAAAAACAAAACAAATTATTGAGTCTATTACAGAACCTGCAAGAATCGCAATGTGAAAAGTCATGGTACAATTATAAAAGGTAACAGCAAATCCCAGCTGATTTGATTCCAACGTAATACTAATGTCAATATGAATTTGACAAATTATGTTTTTAAAAATCACCCAACAGGAAAATTGGGAACGCATACAATTTGAAATTGTTCTTTATTAATGTGCTCCCGTATTCAATTTACTCAATCTGCCTGCGGAAAGTTTGAGGAAGCAAATCTTTCTTGATGGAATTACTCGCTATTCCCAGCATTGTCATATGTGTTACAATTATATATGGCAATGGCTCAATTAAAGGAAAGATGTGGAAGCGATAGAAATATAAATTTGATAGATTTTCATTCATGTTTTTCAATTTTTATTTTGAGGATTCGAAATATTCCATTTTCAAAATAAAAATAATTTGATGATAATTTGTTTGTTTGTTTACATTTTTCTGTCAAATGAGTTGACACTAGTAGAACTTACAACAACAAATTTCCATGTGGTTGTTGTATCGTTTTTTGTACAACAACACTTGCTGTTACCTTTAATTATTATACCATGGTGAAAAGTATTAATATTTTCGAAATGAGGGAAACCGACCATTTGCTATGCTAATTTTTAACTTTCTTAAAAAAACCCAAGTATAAAGTCATTATATTCGACCGGGTCGATCTGTTCCATTGCAATTACACAAATAATAATTTCTTCGGGACTAAGGATTACCGCCAAAGATTTGCCCTTAAAAAATTCGTTATAAACAATTTCATCTGGGTATACTTTATGGGGCCCACTAAATTTTTTGTAGCTTCTTGAACGTGTATAGCATACATAAATTCCAATAAACATATAGATTTTCGCCTTTTTCTTTTCCTTTCAGATGTGAAGAATGTAATAAGTCCTTCAAGACCACATACAATTTACATACGCACAATCTCTCATTTCATCAACACGAAGAAGATGGAGTACACGCCTGTGAATTTTGTCCACAGAAATTTCCGCGACGTAAACTCTTGGAGTTTCATAAGCCAACACATATACCCAAGGACCAATGGTCATTCTTTTGCATGAAATGTCCAACACCGAGGCCGTATGTTTCTCACACAACAATAATAAAAACTCCTCCCCCAAAAAAGAAAGTAAAACGTTCTCCCTATATATTTACAGTTTTGCCAGTGAATATTTGCTGAAGACCCACGAAAGTGTTCATAAACGAGAAACAAACATCTGTCATGTTTGTGCCAAAGAAATCAAAGATAAATATCTATTCGAGAAACATGTACGCCTTCATTTTGAGGATAGTGGACCGCGTGTTAAATGTCCCTACCCGGATTGTGAAAGTTGGCTAAAGGATGAATATAATTTAAAGGATCATTTGCGTAGGCACAACAGTGAGGGTATTATCTATAAATGCCCGGAATGCGACAAGGTATGTAAGAATCGTAAAGCTTTGTCGCAACACAAACGGAATAATCATTCCAATCGTCAGTATAAATGTTCGCAGTGTGAAAAGGTGTTCAAAAAGGCAATAACATTGAAGGTACGTTTGAAATATGAAAGGTAATTTTTTTGATAATTCAATTTTTTTCGTTGATTGTTTTAGGAACATATGGCCCATCACACAGGTGAAAGTCTCTATAAATGTCCCTTCTGTCCGAGAACATTTAATTCCAACGCAAATATGTATTCACACAAAAAGAAACAGCATTCAATGTTGAATGGTAAAAATAAAAGTGATAAGGCTGCCTTTTGATTTTAATATGCGATGACAGTATTTTTTTATATGTAAGTGATTTAAAATATTTTTAATTTAATTTATTTTTTGTATTATTTATTAGTATTTAAGAAAAATCTAACGAATAATAAATAATATGAATTTCAAATTATCAGCCTTATTCTGTATATTCGCTAGGGAGAGATCACGCCTGTGAAAAATGTCTTGCTTTCACATTCTCGCCTCATTCGGAATGATTAGGGAGAAGCAAAAAATGGGAATTTCAGTTGTAATGTGTGTTGTCACATTGTAATTTAATTTTGTAATATTTTTCATTATTTAATACTTATATATTTGTAGTCAGCTCCCTTTAAATGTATTAGCGAAAATTTCCGAATAAGAGGAAAGTGCAAATGCGAAAAAATTTTCCAATAATGTCATTGACAATTGGCTTCATTCGTTCACGCAGCATGCTGGATAGCACTTTATATGCAATGGGAAGGAGTCTTATTCCTCTATAGTCTTGACTCTTTTTTATACACGGGACACGGGATCCCGAGGTTCCAATCATTGAGCATGCATTTATCTTGCCAAATTGTACTAATTAGCTGGTGTATGTTCCTTTCCAGCTTCTGACCACCAGTCTTGAATAGTTCAGCTTGTAACCAATCGGCATCCGCTGCTTTATTATTCTTCAGCCCATTGGTATTCAGACCTCAGCTTGGCTAGGTGGTATACACTCTATACCGTCATTTATCATTGGTTCTGGGGTATCCTTCTTCTTTGCTGCCAGAAGTTTTCAAAATGCTCCTTCCAGATCCTAAGCACGCTGTCTGTATCTGTCATCAGGTTTCCTTCTTAATCTCTACAGGATGTCCACAATAAGGCTGTTGTTAATATGTGTTGATAATGGGCGGCTCATTACCATACTTTTAAATTACAAAACTACCATTAATACAAATAACCACCATTTCTTACAAATAAAAACACACATTTTTTAAACAATAAAAATTTAATATAATTTAAAAATTATAACTAAATAATATTTTTTATATATATTAATAATATACACATATTTACAAAGAACTAAGATTTTGATTTTTTATTAAAACTTGAGCACTGCCAGTTTTATTTCTACGCCACTCCTCCCATTCGATGGGATGGGCCCGTTTTTTATGAGCATGCATATTGGCATTTGAATTAAAGGTTCGCGGACAAAATGGACATTTGTATAGGGTTTCACCCGTATGCTGGGTCATGTGCTCCTAAAGAAAAGAAATAAACAAAAGGATAATTAATTAACAAAAACTGTTACTGTTTGCTTTAGACCTCCTCCTCCAAAATACAAACCCTTAATGAAATTGCTTTCTTAAACGTTTTATCACATTGTTCACACTGAAATGTGGCATTGGAATGACTGTAACGTTTATGATTTGTCAGGGCACGACGATTTTTCACCACTTTATCACATTCGGGACACTTATAGATAATACCCTCGGGATTGTGTCGTTTCAGGTGCTGCTTTAAATTATCCTCATCTTTTAGCCAACTATCACAGTCGGGATAGGGACATGGTACACGGGGTCCGCTCTGTTCGAAATGCAATCGAACATGCTTCTCGAACGAATGTTTATCACGTATCTCTTTGGCACAGACATGACAAATGTGTTTGGCTCGTTTGTGTTGCATACTTGTGTGTATGTTCAGCAAATACAAACTGGCAAATCTGTAAAAGGGTAAACCAACAAACCTTTTATTGCGATTCTTAAATAAATTCAAAAAAAAAACTTACGCCTTTGGTGCTGGACATTTGTCACAAAAGAATTGCCACTGTTCGCGTGGTATATGTGAGGGTTTATGCAATTCCAATAGATTTTGTCGGGCAAACTTTTTGGGACACAAATCGCAGGCATAGGTTCGCTCTTCTTCGGGGGCATGATAATTCAAGTTATGTGCCCTCAGACCACATGTTGTGGTAAATGATTTATTGCACTCGTTACACCTAAAACAGAAAACATATCAATTACCTTTCGAATTTTGAAAGTAGGAGTACGTACTTAAAACAATTGGGATCCTCATGCTTGAGAGCATGCTGTGCCACATAAAATCGTTTTGTAAACTTTTTATCACAGCACATAATATAGGGTCGTATCTTTGGATGGAATTCCTTAAAGTGACCGACAATGTCAGCAAATGTCTTACCCACAAACACACACAAACTACAACCCATTGGTATGTGTTTCTGTATCATCTCCTCGGTATGTTGATGATCGAATCGATATTGCACTTTACGTTTTTTCTTAACATCATCGGTTGTTTGCTTGCCAGACGATGATTTGGTTTTCCGTTTTCGGTTTTGAGTGGGTTTTTTCTTCTTCTCCTCCTGCTGCTCTTGCTTGACAGTGCCTTCCTCTTCTTCTCCGTGGGATGTAGACTCCTCATCACTGTATTCAGCGGATTGTCCTTCATCGTCCTCGTCGTCATCATCGTCCTCATAATTAGATCCCTCATTTTCAGATTCACTATCCGTTGCATGAGATTTTTGCTCATCATCCAAAGGATTACTTTGCCATATATCCATTACTTGAATATCCTCATCTTCCAATTTGCCATCGATTTCACCTTCCATATCCTTTTGAAAATCCTCCAAGGGATTCTTTTCAGGTTTTTCGTCGACATTACCGCTTTTTGGCGTATCACCAATTTCAATTTCTAATTGCAGTATATCACTGAACACTTCATCGTGTTCCTGTTTAATGGAATTTGTGCTAGTTGGTATCTCCTCCTGTTTAATAACATTCAACAATTTGTGTTGTTTTTTGTTAAGTTGATATTCGGCATGTATTCGTTCGGCTTGTTCATAGAATTCATGGAAGTCATTGATACGTTCCCAGCACACGAAACATATATGGGATCTCAGTTCATCATTTTCCATGGGCTATAAAACAACACAACAACAAATGGTTATTTTGTGTACCACAAATGATGATTTGTCTCCTCCTACCTTAAACCACAAATGTTGTTGTATGATTTCTGACATTTTCAATTTCTTGCCATCCTCCTCGTAAATACCCATGGTATTGGTGTTTTCCAGGAGACAAACACAGCACAACATTTTCAAGAGTTTATTTGTTGGACAAATATCCCCTTGGAAATAGTTTTTTTACTATTTTAATGACAAATAAAAACGTTCCTCCTGCCACAAATAGCGAGAAGAACAAATGACCGATAACGAAAGGAACTCAAAGTAAAAAATGGAAAATTTACGAATGAGATGTGATAGGCACAGCGAGTATTGTTGAGAAAAAGACATAGGGCAAATAGAATTGAATTAATGGGAAATATTCACTTTATGGAACTATGTGAACTACTACTCGTTCCCTTTTCGATTGGTTGAACAGGATTGCCAATTTTGTTTTTAGAATAATTTTTAATGTAGAAGCGGAAACAATGGCCGTTAACGGTCAAATAATATCATGCACAATCGTGTTTGCAAATGTGTACCAGCAAAATTGCCTCAGGTCTTTGGTGCAGAATCGCTTTTGGTAAAACTTTTTGAACAGAATAGAGGTATTATTTTATAATTTTGTTTTTGTTTGACAGGTAAGACAACCAGCATTTCGCCAAATTAACATAAATAAATTAGTTTCAAAAGTTGCGAAGGAATTCATGGATAAAATTCAACAATGTTTGAATTTGTGCAAATTTTTGCATCAAAATGTGAGTGAGTATATTTGATTATTTTCATGGTATTACTAGTTGTTAAAAATAACTTTAAATGTCTAATTATTTTAAAACAAGTCTAGTTTTGGGATCGGTCGGGTGTTGCGAGGCCATCGGCAGAATAAGAGGAGGTAGTGGGCCGAAGGTAGAATAAGAGGAGGTTGTGACGAAGGTTGGGTGGGCAAAATGTGAGCCATCAACACGGATTGTGTTGAGGGGGATGATGCATTGTGTATTAGTGTAGTGTGTATTCATGTGTTGTTTGCAAATTTTTTATTGTTGCATGTTAAGAGCTAGGGGAGTTGCCAATCTCCTACGCGTCTTCCCGGGTGGCGGATGGGAAGGGGGTCTCATGATGTGCAGGGTGAAACTGACCTAGGTCAACTTTTCTCTGCACTTCGTGGAAACCTTGGGGATCTTCGGATCTCGGATCCACGGATCAAAAAGATCGGGGCTGTGCCCTTAAATTAATAAATTACGATGGTCAATAAGAGAAAAAGGTGCAGGGAGTTAATAACCCAGTACCAGCGGCAATCGCTGTTGAGATCACAAGCCACGTGTTGTCGAGATCAAGCGATTGTGATCCGGCTGCTCTATGTGTGGATGCCACGGGCAAGATGAGATTCGTAAGGAAATTAAAAAAAAAAAATTACACGCACTCTCTCCATCATGAGCTCCAGATGGAGACGATCTCATACCCGAATCTAATTGCTCGAAGCCGACTTCTGACCTGAAGCCTAGCCTGAAGCCCAAACCGGAGCAAATGCCAAAGTAAAACTCTACTGAGAGCATCCCGACACAAACATGTGTTGAGGGCTCTGCCTCAAAGCCTGATTCCATTCATAGGGACAAAGGTGAAGCGCATAAGCTCAGCCACCTTCACCCAAGTAGACGATGACTTCGCGTCTGACTGACCCATTTCCCTCATATGCGGCTGTCGCTGGGCAACAAACGGCGGAGATCCGAGTGCGCGCGTTAAACTGGACTTACACCATATACTTTTTTATAAGATAAAACCAATTGTCGAAGAATTTTTTCCACTCCGATAGACCTACAAAATATGTTTCTGGAATTCTTCGAGTGAGAGCCGATGAGTGAGTGCCTGCTCGAAATTCAACGAAATCGAACGTAGACTTTAGGCTAGTGCTGTGAAAGCGTGGGAACTGGTGCATTTTTTTACTTGCACCAATAAGCTCGTTCTCTTTTAGTAAGTCATTTAATATAGCGTGTTCTCATTTACTCTCCGAGCATTTTCACTCTGCATACCTCTACTTCAGGCAAAAAATTATGGTGCACCACTCAGAACGGACCGTCCTACTCTGCTTATACGGAGCAGTCGCCACATGACCAATATTACCGACTATCGCACGGAAATGTTTACGACTTAATTTCCTTTTTCCGAAAATAGATTTTAATGGCACCGTAAACACAACAACAAATGGGCGTACGACAAAGTGCCACAAGGTATTTAGCGGTTATTTGAATTGGAAACCGTTCGTCCATTATAAACCTGAGAAGAGAGGATAGATTGGGGATATGATGGCTGATGGAATTTGCTGGTGTATATTCCGGAGAAGAAAGTTAGAGTATCAATCTAATATTTACCACGACATCTACATGTGAGATGTCAGATTGTTTCCAACTCTTCCTTATCGTAACTTCAATGGCATCCAAGTTTTGCCGAGTACAGTTATGATCCCTACAGTAAGTTTGATCTCTCTTCTTTCTACATAACACATGGATGTATGTCAATCCGAACATTACAATGGAAATGATAGGTGGCGTCAGGCCTGCATCCAGTTTTTTTCTTTATTTTACCACGGTTTTGAGAAAATAATAGAAATTACTTTAACTTTTTTGTTTTTAATTAGTCTAAAGTATATATTAATTTTATTTACTTTTCTACTGAGACCATAAATTAAATATTGCTTCAAAGAAGAATTACACTTAAACTTCCAATGTCATGGACATTATTAAGGCATGACACAATGGACAGGTTCGATGTCGGGTGATTTCCATTGGTGCTGCACAATGATGACATGTACCACAAATCCAAATATTTGCTGTGGGCTGGGTTATGGGTTTGCCCGAAGATACGCATGGTGGAAAACGGGCGCCACAGCTATTACATGCCGGTAAGCTACAAAACAAAAAGGTTTATTATTATTTGCAACACTGGTTATTGGCTCTAGTAGAGAAAAAAACTTACCTATCCGGCACCGATGTTTTACACGCATAACATGTTATAAAATCCTCCTTATCATCAATTGGTTCATTTTTCGAGAAAATATTAATGGCCAATTCTTCAAATTCTTTCAGCGTCTCCTCGGGCAACTCTGTCAGCGATTCTAATTTAATGAAGGCCTTCGAACAAGTACCAAATGATCGATCAGCACAACTGGCCAAAGCTAAAAGACTATAAATATCTTCGGGTTTTAGAACATCTTCATAATCTCTTAAACGTAGCGCGGTAATGACAGCACTGTGAACAATACCAAAACGCAACTGTCGTTGTGCCAATAACATGAAATGATATGCCTCGGCACAATGCCATATTTTTTCAATAGTTGCCGAATCTTCAAGACTTAAGGTATCCATTATAGTTATACGATCGACATTGTAATTGGGTGTCTCCTCCGAGCTGGCAACTAAACTTTTTAAATGTTGTTCTGCCAATAGGCCGGCTAGAACATATAATTTTTTGATACGCAACATATCAGAACCTTTTTCCGTTTCCTTTTCAGCCAATTTGGTCATTAGGCGTGCTGCATCTAAATAACGTCCAGCTTTTCGTTGCAATTCTATGGCTTCGGGTAGCCGATTTTCTTTTAGCAATTCTGCAGCATGTTTGCTTAGTAGGGTTGTAACTTGAGGCATTTGGAATTTTTGTGCCAACTCCACGGCTTGACCCCATTGTCGTAGATTGACACAGGTATTTACTGCTGATTTGGGATCACCAAATTTCAAAAAAGCATTTACAGCCTCGCTGCACATGCCCACCGAGGATAGCATTTCTGCAATTTTAGCCAATAGAGGACTTTTTTCCGGTAACTTATCTATGCATTTTTCCAATTCATCAAATTGTTCCAAATGATAGAGAGAATTCATTAGACCCTCAATATCATGCGACTTTTCATAATACTCTTTGGCGCTTTCCCATGATCGTAGATTTGCAAAATGATGGCCAATTTCTCGCCATGCCAATTCCATTTGTTGATCGGAAATACCCGATCCCATACGATATAGCTGCACCACCCTAAACCAATCGCATAGGGAGATGCGTAAATTAATTGCCAAGTCCCGACGATCTCCATCAATATACAACTTTTCCGCCTCTTCAAATTCGCCATAGAAGGCAGCAATCTCAGCTTTTTGCAACAATTCCGATGGTATATTACGTAGCCTCTTGATCAGCTGTATGCCCTGATAATTGGCACAGCGTACAAAAGCATTTTCGGCCACATCAAGTTCCAGCTTTTTCAATGCTGCCTCGGCCAAGAGACGCCACAAACGTGGATGTGGATTGTCCTCAATAAATTGCTTGGCATCTTCCAAGCCGACATGTTGTAATAAATCATCGGTATCACGTAAAGATTTCACCTTCAATTGCAGGATATGACTAATGGAATTTTGAGTTTCTTCACCACTGATAATGTCATCCAGTAGGACACTGGTTATTTCTAAATCTTCAAAAGTACATATATATCCGGAGCATGCAATGGGCTCTTCGGGATCATTGCCACGGAAAATGTACATGCGAGTTTTCTCCATCAATGCCAATAGAAGGGGATTATCCTTGGCCCAACAAATTGCCCAAACATCTTTACGTTCGACACGACTGAAGTTCAGTTGGGTTTCGCGAGCGTCGTCCAGATCCAATAGTGTCATTACGCCATTATAATCAATGAGAGCAGCACGACTGAAAAAAAAGCGATTTAAAAGAATTTTTAGATTATGGTTTGGATTAGGTTTAATCAATAATTTGTTAAAAGCTGTACCGGAGCTTACAGAGACTTTACAAATTCTTTCTGAACGAATTTATTCACTTAGAGATCTACAAAATCCACTCGATTTCAAACGTCACGTGAATGAATCCTGTTCACAAATTCATTGGTTTATATTTGACGAATACGCTATGGAATTGACATTCGAGAGCGAGTGGATTTTATAAATCTAAACGCACTTTTTGGTTTATAAGCTAACATCAGTTGATTGTTCAAACAGCTGTTTTATTATTTCTGTTTATTCATCATTTATTTGACGTGTACTCAAAGGGAGATGACAGTCTAAATAACGCGCTTTACGCCAACCGAATATGGTGTAAATATAGCCTAAAGAAACGAATCTATTTGACTAAACGGAACAAAATTTTCCAACTATTCTTTTTTAATACTTACGTTGAATTTGAATTAATGGCCATTTTAATAATTTTCACACCAACTTTATGGCGATTCCTTAATGCAACATTCGGTATACTATATTCATTTATAATACCCGATTCTCGTGCGACTAACAGAATTTTCTCCGACAAAGCCAATGAACATATAGGATCACCGTTCGTCTTGTTATCCCTCTCATCTTGTCGCCCTTTGGTTGCAAGTTGCAAGTCTTTAGCCATATCCACACCAGTTGGTGTATCATCGATATGAAAACGTTTTTCTTTGCGTGATTTGACATTATGCAACTGTGAAGCACTCTGGAATATTTCGAATTTTTGAAATTAGTTTATTTGGGAAATAAGTCTACAAAAAATAATAAAAACTTACCTTAGGAGTATGATAGTGCCACAATAATATTTCATCTTTTGAAGCTATGACTACATAATTTGAATTGATCCCGATAAAATTTGGACACACCTCGGTGTATTTAGCTAATGGAAGACAATAAAGAAATCGAGATTTATAATAAAGATTACACGATTTTTTTGAAAAAAATCTAGATAAACAGCTGATCTTCAGGGGTGATTTCGATTATATTTTAGATTTTTTTTATTTTCACAGCTAAATCTGCTCTGTCAATTCAATCTGTTTTACAGAACTTTTTTTTAAAACAATTCATATGACAGCTAACTAGTGACACAGCTGATATTCCTGGCTGACTTTAGGTTTACAAATTATTACAAAATATTGTTCGTTTAGTCAAAAGTCCAGTAAAAGAGGGTGAATTGAGAGAGTAGATTTGACAGTTGTGTTATTGAGTATTTGCAAATTCTTACAACAGAAAGTTTACTCAGTAAGAATTTTCTTGTACTATCAGCTGATATTTAATCAGCTGTTTTGTTATGTTTTGTAAATAAACAACAAAAATTATTCTCAAGGCAATTAACTATTTTGTAAATGTTATTGTTATTTTGTATCAATTAAAATTAAAAAGGATGAATAAAACAACCATTGTTCTAATTTGGTTAGCACCAAATTGTTGTTTTAATCAGATGTGTCAATTTTCTATCTTGAGAGCGAAAATTTCGTATCTACTCTCTGCAAATTCTTATTGAGCAAATGTTACTGCGAAAGTAAACAAACGAATATTTTTTGCTCAAAAGAATTTGTTATTGAACAATTTCTTCACACCAAAATTTCGTAAATTCTCAAAAATACTGATGTCAAATCTGTTATCTCAATACACTTTCCTTTAATTTAAGGTCGAAAAGGACCAGATGATATCATTTGTGCCAAGACCTATAAATAAGTTCATCCATGGATACCAGCTGCATATCAGCTGTTTCCCAAGTTAGCTGTCAACAATCATTATTATGAAATGATCACCATTATGAAAACGGAAACAAAGTTTAAACATTTTTCATTAGTTTTGGAAAAAAGCTGACTTTCGCTTGGTGTGTGACCTTATTAATAGATATTGGATTATATCATCCGTTCTGTCAAAATGAACTATTTCTATTTTGAAATAATCGTAATCACATTTGAGATGGCTTGTTGCATTCTTCTCGACTTGTTAAACGGGTCATGAACTTTAACTTACAATCCACAGTAGTTCCAATCGAATTACACAACATTAATTGATATAATTTATCATCTGGATTTTTACGCTCCACAGCTGATAATGCCAATTCCTTTAGATTACCACTAACACATTCCACGGCCAATACACAATGTTCATTACAGGCAGCCATTGCCAGACAGGGTTCGACCTCCTTAAGAAAACTCTAAAAGAAGAAACAAAATATTTAAATTTTATATAAAAATTTTATTTTTCAAAATCCCTTACCTGATTCGAAATGGTATTCCAAAATGTTATCACATTTATATTATTCGCTTTGGCATGATTGGCATTAAGAAACACCACCGTCTTCTCGAAAAAACACCATACATAATCCGGACGTATATTTGCAAAATATATAAACGAATCAACAGCCATTGCGATACGTAACGATTTACCTTCCCATGATATGGATGTTATTTTATTACCGGGAACTTTCAACGTTCGATATAAATGTCCATAGGGTGAATAGAAACTAACTTGATTCAATTCTTTTGTAGTTGAGACATCGTCAAGGCGGCCACAGATTGCCAATACAGAACCATCATGATTCCATTTTGCATCGGTAATTGTCATCGGTGTGGTAATTATGATGGGATCTGAAATGGAAAAGTATTTAAAATTTAAAAACAATGGTAAAGACGGCTTCTCAGGGCATTCGTAAAATGCATATTAAATCTTATTATTTACTCGAGAAATTTCTTTATCTCTCTCTCCCTTTCACTTATTTTCAACATTTCACAGTGAATATTTTCACGTTCTTATTCCAAATGAAATTCGAAAGTGAGAAAATTCGCCAAGTGAGAATATTAATTATGAAAAATGAAAGTGTGTCATTATGGTATTTAGATTTTTATTTAGATTTATAAATGTAATTAAAATAATTCAATTATAATGAGGCGAGAAAGGAATTTTTCACTAGCGAGATTACTCCCAAGAAGATCTATTAAAAGGATCACCCAGCAAGTGAAAGTCAGCACTTTTTCTCAAGTCTAATGTCAAAATTTTGGCCTTTGTTTACGTTTTCATAATGGAAGTTAATTCACAATAATGGATTTTGACAGCAAACTTAAGAAGCACCTGATATCTAGCTGGTCTCCCTGGACGACCCTATTTTTTGGCCTTGCTCCCTAGCCCAAGATCTATTAATAAGATTACCCTTCATGCGAAAGTCAGCTGTTTTTTCTGTTTTCACAAGTCTAATACCAATACCAACAAATTGAACTTTGTTTACACTTTCATAATGAATGTCAATTCACAATAATGGATTTTAACAGTAAACTTTAGAATCAGCTGATCTCCCAGGATAATCTTATTTTATTAAGATGCCTTGTCCTAACCAGTATCCAAATCGAATTTGTTTCCTTGAAAGAGTAAACTTTTTTTAACTGAAATTACGGAGTATTTTTTTTTACTGGAAAAATAGACGAACGCACCTATTGCATTTTCTTTTCAATATATAAAATAATTTAAAACAATTTTGTATTCACTTACTATCATCATTTTCATCTACCATCAACTGGGCTTTGCCATTCGCATAACATATGGCCAAGACTGGTCGGTTGCCATTAGTTTTACCACTAAACCAATTCAAAGCAGCCACATGATTCGGACGATTGCTGTTATTAGGAGCGGTACATTTCATATTCAATTTCATCTGCAAAAGAAAACAAATGATGTAAAATAAAATTTCAACATAAATTTATAGGTTTTAATATACCGCAAAATTTCCTTGATTGTCATAAAGATGACATTCACCATTGGCCAAACTGAAGAGAATTAAACGATTATCGGGACTCCATTGGACACCGCTTAAATGGGTGTTCTTTAGCTCTTTGCCCCAAATACGATTACCATCGACGGAACCTTTTTCGAAAAAAAAGAAACAATAAATTAGATTCTGGTATAGTTAATCATTTTACCGGACATTTTAAATTTATTAGCTAAAATATCTCTTTTTGGCTATTCAGAATAAACATCATTGACTAATATCTCTGGCAGTCGCCCATCCTCCAACTAAAATATTTATCCAGAGTTTGACTTTAAAAAATTCTTATAGTTTTGCTTTTTTTTGGTTGCCACTCACCCACAATTATCGCACCATCAGCATAAACGATGCAAATTTTCGTACCATCCGATGTCCAATGCATACCATTTACCGTTGATTTTTTACGATCGTTTGTCATCTCCTCATACCACGAACCCTTGTACAGCATCCATACCATAATGACACCATCCACATCCGAAGATGTTAATTTCTGTTGGGCATCATTCCAGACCACCACTTTAACAGCATTTTTGTGACCATCTAAGGTTTGATTCATGGACAAATTTGATACGGCTGCCAAGCCGCCTTTATTTTGGCCATTTGAAGCTATCCGGAAAAATAACATAAATTTATAAGAATTTAAATAATAAAAAGTAATATATCGATATGTATAAATAATTACCCTGTTCCAATTTCAACACCTTTAACAGGCCTTCTGTGCCAGCAACTGCAATGTAACCATGTTCCTTGTTCCAGGATATACAATTCAATTGTACATTGTTTGGTATGGCAATCTAATAAAAGAAATAATAAATTTATTTGGATTTTTTTCATATTCTCAAAAATTGTTTTTAAGCTTTATACCTTTTTACTTAAATACACAAACATTTTTTCCTTAAAATAAAAACTTTATACTGAAGTTGTGCGTCTTCTTTTCTTGTCGTCAAACTTTGTTGTGTAGAGAAAAAAAGAAAACTCGTTTCCATAGCAATTTTATGGCTGTCGATTTTATTTTCTTTTTTCTAGCCATGGATAACAACACCAACTGTTGCGTACCTTCTTCTCCTTATTGACCACAACAAACAAAACAACAACAGCTGTTAGATTTGCCCGGCTAATTCAACAGGTGAGTATGACAAATCGTATTTTATTGAAAATTGTGTGTGTGTGTGAGAGAGACACATGATCCACATTCAACAGGTGAGTGTGACAAATAGTATTTTATTGAAAATGGTGTAAGAGAGACACACATGATCCACATTCTCTTTGGTTTGAAGAGAGTCGTTTACAAACAAAAAGAAGTAGAAGAAAAATGGGGTTTGCAAATATTCGGTTTTTTGCAGAAGGAATTAAGTCTTTATAGATTATCTAAAGGGAGCATTTTAAATGCCAGATGAAAGGAAGGTTTATATTGTTGCAACTTTACCATGGGAAAGTAGCAAAAGAGATAAAATCATCAGATTACATTGACCTATTCAATATAACTTTCCGCTCCATGCCATCCTGTTACTTCCAAATATAACATTTCTGGACCTCTTTAAAAATCGATAGTCAACATCGAACATTGTTAACATGTACAAAACTATGCATACTAAATTTCTCGATCTCGAAATCCACATTCACCGATGGTTCAAAAACGGCAGACAAACCCAGCCTTGCCTTATGGATGCCTTCGTTGGACATCGAAGCTTCCTTCACGTTAGATAACAACTGCTATATTTTCTCGGCGGAAGCTTATGCAATTATTGAAGCTTTAATGCTAATCAAAACCTGTGATCCTGGGAAATATGAACTCATCACTGACAGCAAATCAGTCCTTCAGGATATTGGATCTCAAAACTAAAGAAATACCCATCCCTTTATTTAGAGAATAAAATATGAGGCGTAACAAATGTCTAGGCAGGCCTTCACTATACACTTTCTACAGGTGCCTATCCATAGCGGCATCGATGGAAACAAAATTATGTAACCATAATCCAACCGATTCTTACCCAAAATTATGTCTATCTGACATGAGACAACTCGAAAAATCTTCGGCAGTCACTTCTTGGCAAGAAAAATTGAATGAAAGTGTATACGACAGACGATTTTACTCATATTATCCCAAAGTCAACTGTATTCCTTGGTTCCGAAATGCTAAAATGTCCCGAAATGTCGCAACAACAATAATTAGACTTCGATTTGGTCACAATCAGATGAATTAACATGACCAGTTTAAAAAAAACACGCCTTTTAAATTCTTAAAAAAAAATATATATTTTTTTTAAATATCCACGCCTTTTAAATTCTTAACAAAATATTTTTAAAAAATCCCATTAAATTCTTCCTATTAAATATTAGCGAAAATTTTCGCACAAAATGTCATCACATTCTCCCACTCCCTGCAATCCAGAATAACTAATTCTTTCCCCAAAGCGGATTATTTCGCTTTCGAACTTGATTCAGAATAAGGGAAAAGTGAAAATGCGAAAAAAATCGCTGTGAATTCTGGTTCAGAATAACTTTAAATTCACGGTGAATTGATGCCCAGAATAAGACTGATTATTTAGTTTTAATACAATGCCGATGTTGTTTATTTTTTAATAAACATTTTCCAATTCGCAAAATTTTATAATATATTAAAAAAATCTTCAGAAATCTTTTAACTAAGAAAAAACAGCATATAAATTTTATTTATAAACAAAATTAAGATTACATTTATAATTTCTATTTACACATACATTTACAAATTATTACTAGTTGGTTGTTTTATTATAGTCTGAGCACTACCCGTTTTATTCCTACGCCATTCTTCCCATTCAATGGGATGAGCCCGCTTTTTATGAGCATGCATATTGGCATTCGAGTTAAATGTTCTTGTACAAAATGGACATTTATATAGGGTTTCTCCCGTATGCTGGGTCATGTGTTCCTAAAGAAATCGATGACAAAAAAAATCATTTTTAAATAAAAAAAAATATTTTTCTATTTAATTGTTAATTATGCATACATACCCTTAAGGATATTGCTTTCTTAAAGGATCTATCACATTGTTCACATTTGAAATTGGCGCTCATTGTATGGCTATAACGTTTGTGATTTGTTAGGCCCACACGATTCTTATAGACTTTGTCGCATATTTCACATCTATAGGTAATGCCCTGTGGAAAAAAACAAAACAAAAAAATATACATGCGGAAAATATTTTATTAAAAAATGTGAGTTATATATTTTTTATGTAAACCCCCAGTTTACCTCCAAGTTGTGTCGTTTCAAGTGTTTCCTTAGATTATCTTCATCCTTAAGCCAACTATCACATCCTGGATAGGGACATGGAACCCGTGGAGTTGCCTCACCGAAATGTGAACGTACATGCTTCTCGAACGAATGTTTATCCCGAATCTCTTTGGCACACACGTGACACACATGTTTTGTTCTTTTATGTTGCATACTTGTGTGTACTTTGAGTAAATATGAGCTGGCAAATCTTGACGAAGGACATTTCGGACAAAAGAATGCCCATTGTTCGCGTGGTATATGTGAGGGTTTGTGTAGCTCTAATAGATTGCGGGCGGCAAATTTTTTCGGACATATATCACAAGCAAATATGCGTTCCTCCTCAGTGGCATGATAGTTGAGATCGTGTGCCCTTAGGCCACGTTTACTGGTAAAGTTTTTATTGCATTCGTGGCATCTGCAAAAAAAGAAGAAATTTTGATTTTTAAAATTATTTTTCTGCGGACCATGTGGATTCTTATTACAGTCCATTACGCCAAGATGCTTGGATTCATAATGAATATTTTTTTCAGAGTATTTTTAAGGTCTTTTACTATCTTTCCACCTTCTCTCTTTCTCTCTCTCTCTCTCTACTTACTTAAAACAATTTGGATCCTCATGCATAAGAGCATGCTGGGCTAAATGACATCTCTTCGTAAATTGTTTATCACAACATGTCACATATGGCCTCACTCTTGGATGTGCCTCCTTAAAATGTTCCACAATATCGGGAAATGTTTTACCAACAAATACACATAAATTACATCCCATAGGTATATATTTGAGGATCATTTCATCGGCATGTTTCTCATCGATCTTATATAGTTCCTTACGTTTTTTCCTTATTTCATATATACTCTGTTCCATAGGTGTTCGTTTTTTATGTGCTTCCTTTTTATCTGCTCTTCCATCGCTTTTCTTACGTCCCCTTTTTTTGACCACTTTCGTTGTACTTTCCTCCTCCGAGGATATAGAATCGTCTTCTTCTTCCTCCTCATCTTCATCATCATCGCTACAATCTGTTTCTTGTTCGAAATCATCGGAACATTCGTTATCCGATGCTTCTGGCATGCCATCCTCCATATCATTGAGAATATTAATTTTTAAACTGTGTAGCTCAGTTTTAACATCATCATCATTCTCGTTGTTTTCTTTAATATCCCCATCCTCTGTTTTTTCCTGTAACTCCTCCAAGGGATTATCAGCCTTTGAAATGGCGTCCTGCTCCTCATCATCATCGCACATTTTCGTTAAACTTTCACCAATTTCAATATTCATTTCCAATATATCTTCATATAATTCATCGTTGTCCGCATTTCCAACATTCGGACTAATTGCAGCTTCCTCCAACTTGATGTGGAAATGTTCCTTTTTCTCTGGTTTATTATATTCTTCATGAATTCGTTTGGCCTGTTGATAGAAGACATGGAAATCCTGTAATGCTTCCCAGCACACGGTACAAATGTGGGACTTTAGGGGATTATTTGTTTCGGGCTGTATTAAAAGACATTTAGATTACTTAGAAGATTACTATGGATCATCAATCATCCACCCATCCCACTTACCTTAAACCACAAATGTTGTTGTATGATATCCTCAATCTTTAATTTTATGCCCTCACTTTCATAGATACCCATTGTGCCGGTATTCTCCAGCAGACAAACACAGCATAACATTTTCTTGCTTTTTTGTTTTTTATGCGGGTTTTTATTTTCAGTATTTATTATATTTTGTTATAAACAAATCCAAAATTTCTCTTCTGGAACCACCTATTGGCAACGAAAACAAATGTTATGGTTTCCATGTGCTACCTAATGAAAAAGCGTCCCAGTACGACTGCTAAACAACTGTTATCAGTTGACAACATAACATAAGTTCACACAAGACAATCAACTTTATTGTGGACTTTAATCCCCCGTGACTTTTTTCCCTTCCTCAAATTGGAGATAAAAATAAACATAATGAAAGATTTTGGGGGACATATCAGCGATATTTCATCTAAATTAATGTTTAGTGTAATTTGTTTGTAGGTGTAAATTTTTCTTCAGATGGAATGGGACGAAGAGTCCCATTTTCGAATATTATATAGTTTTGGTAAAAAATATTATGTTGCTCAAAGTTTGGTTCCATGGTATTAAAAACAAAAAAAATTGTTTAACAAATTTATTATTATTCAGCCTTATTCTGGACATCATTTCACCGTGAATTTGTTCGCTTTTCCCTTTAAAGTTATTCTACACCAGAACTCGCAGCTAATTTTTTCGCCTTTTCACTTTCCCCTTATTCTGAATCAAGTTCGAAAGTGAAAAAATCCGCATTGGGGAATATTAGTTATTCTGGATTACAGAGAATGGGAAAATGTGATGACATTTTGTGCAACATTTTTCGCTAATAATAATATTCATGAAATATGTCTAAACAATATATATTCTATGACGACTTTGAATATTGTTAAATGGTTGTGTGCATTTTTAACTCAAAAATAAGAAATAAAATGTCATTGGAAATCCTCTTGATGACTATGCATGCTCAGCCAAATATCGAAATAAAATAAAAAGACACACAATTATGTAGTGAAATAACAAAATGCTGATTTTTTTAATTTAATCAAGATTTCTTCCAATTGCTTGTGTCTGACATTTTTCAATGTGGTTTTTGGCATCATAAAAATGTTATTTTATTTGTTATATGTTGTAGTTGTTGCACCAAACTGCATTAAAACAATTAACAGCTGTTTAACATTCCGTTGTAAGTCACCATATTTTCAAACTTTAATTTTAAAATATAACAAAATTTAATTACAATGGGGCAACACACATTACAACAAAATGATAACAATTTTATTTTTCTTCATTTTTTCGAGAGTCTGAATTACATCTGCAGACAAAATGTCCTATGTAAGCCTTGCAATAATTTAAAGACAAATTACAGACTATAATGCCCTACACTTAATTTGGTTTGCTATCAATTGAAAGTGAATAGCTAACTATAAGAAGAAACAGAAGAGTATTGCTATATATTTTTCCGTGGATTATGGAGTGAAAATGAAGGTAAATATCTACAATTCCGGGTGGAATCTTTTATTAAAATGCCCCCTTTTTAGCGTATTAGTGAAAAGAAATTGGAAGCCTTCAATGTGGGCACAATGGCTAAACGCCAATTGTCCAAAAAGGAAATTGAAGAACAAAAGAAAAAGGACGATGAGGAAGCGGCCGCTCATGTAAGTTGCAGTCTAAACATTGATTAAATCCACCTATATAAACTATTATTAATAAAAATCGACGAATTTATATATTGCCCTATAACAGGTCTTTAAAGAATTTGTGGAAACATTTCAAGAGGTTCCATCGGCATCGTCCAAAGTTTGGGTTAAGGCCGGCACCTATGATGCTGGCTCCAGAAGTAAGTAGTATGTGTGTGTGTTGTGTGTAACAATCATTCATATATTTATGTTAAAGGAGAGGACAACCGTGAAAAGGGCAAGCTGTACAAACCATCTTCAAAGATCGATGATAAATCGGCAACGGAAAAGGCTCAAGAATTTGCCAAATTTTTGGCATCTGATCTGAAAAAAGATTCATTGGCCAGTAAAAAGAAAAGCCAGGAGAAAAAGAAAAGTAATTTGGAATTATTCAAAGAGGAGTTGCGGCAAATCCAAGAGGAACGAGAAGAACGTCATAAGTATAAGCATATGGTGCAATCTAATTTAATTGCTCCCAAGGAACCCAAAGATCACTCCACGGATCATCATGAGGTGGTCGAACGATCTGGATCGCATGATACTGGAGATCCAAATACAACAAATTTGTATTTGGGTAATTTATGTCCAAAGGTAGAAAACTTGTTAAATTAGGGTTTTCCGTTTTTTCATATGTACATTTTTTTGTATCATAAATAGCTAACTGAACAACAATTAATGGAAATTTTTGGTCGCTATGGACCCTTGGCTAGTATAAAAATTATGTGGCCCAGATCGGAAGAGGAAAAATCACGTGGACGTAATTGTGGTTTTGTGGCCTATATGAGTCGTAAAGATGCCGAACGGGCCTTGAGGACACTTAATGGTCGTTTTATAATGGGTTATGAAATGCGTTTGGGTTGGGGTAAAGCTGTACCCATTATGAATCAACCCATTTTTATACCACCTCCACTATTGGAACTTACCATGCCTCCACCGGCATCTGGTTTGCCATTCAATGCTCAGCCTCCGGCAAGTGAGCGACCCAATTTACCATCGAAAAATTACAAGGAATATACAACCGATGAAGAGAAAGAAAATATGGAGAAGGTAAGAAGGACATTAAAACAAGAGACAAATTTAATTTAAATACAATTTATTTTATTTTTCTTACAGGTCCTACAAAAATCGGTGGTTAAAGTAATTATTCCAACGGAAAAGTAAGTTTGTGTTATTTTGCGACTTAATTTGTTTTTATTGATATCGATATTGTGTTTTGTTCCATTTAGAACCGTATTACATATTATACATCGCATGATTGAATTTGTGATACGTGAAGGACCCATGTTTGAGGCTTTGATTATGAGCAGGGAAATTGAAAATCCTGCCTTTTCATTCTTATTTGATAATGAAAGTCCCGCCCACATCTATTATCGTTGGAAGCTATTTTCATTGTTACAAGGTGACAGTCCCAATGAATGGAACGAAAAAGAATTTCGCATGTTTAAGGGTGGGCCAATATGGAAACCGCCAATGGTTAATTTTTATACTCAAGGTATGCCTGATGAATTGGTTGTGGATCCAGATGCGCCTGAAGTACACAAGGGAGCTTTGTCAACAGCGTAGGTTTAATTATTTAAACGATTTGTATCCTTTATTTGAATTTTAAATTTGTTTTGAAGGCAACGTGATCGTTTGGAAGATCTTATACATTATTTGACACCCGAGCGAGCTCGCATTGGTGATGCCATGATCTTTTGTATAGAACATGCAGATGCTGCTGATGAAATATGTGAATGCATTGCCGAATCATTGGCCAATCCAACGACATTGGCATCTCGGAAAATTGCCCGATTGTATTTAATTTCGGATATTCTGCACAATTGCACAGTAAAGGTGGCCAAGGCTTCGTTCTTTAGAAAGGGGTGAGTTTTGCCTTTTTGCTTTGAAATTTTGAACTAATTATTTAAAATTTTCCCCCTTTTGCACAGCATTGAAAAACATTTAATGGATATTTTTGAAAATTTACACACTTTCTACAATAACATTGAGAGTCGTCTTAAGGCTGAAGGTTTTAAAAATCGTGTGTTGAATGTACTAAGAGCATGGGATGATTGGGCCGTCTATTCCAAAGAAAGTCTATTGCAATTGAAAGGCATATTTTTGGGTAAACAAATGAATGTTGTGGAATCACCACCATCGCCAGCCGAAGAAATTAAAGCGGTCGAAGATGAAGATATTGATGGTGCACCATTATCGGGTGATGAACGAGATGATGAAGATTTAGATGGTGTACCCTTGGATGGAGCTGCTCTTTTGAAGGGTGTTTTAATGCGTTCCCTACCCGAAACAGCACAAAAACCAAATCCCATTAAGAGGAGTCAAGAGGTTAGTCGTGATGCGGATTATAATGATGATATTGATGGTATACCACGTAAGTTATAAACATCACATTTTCATTATTTGCTTTAATGCTTGTGTTTTTTTCCTAGTTTACGATGACATTGATGGTGTACCCTTGGAAAAAGATACCTCAGATGAAATAATGCCTTCCGAATCATCAGTACTTGGTAAATCGTCATCATCGTCGTCATCATCTAAGGCGCCAGCATTTATTTCATCCAAATGGGAAACTATTGATCCAGAACAAGTGGCCGAACAGGCAGTCACTACCAGTAAATGGGAATCATTGGATCCCCCCGATCCACCAAAATATGATGCCACCTCAGACAGTGGAGAAGATTATGATGAAATAAAACGCATTAAATTGCGTGATGTTGAGGTTAGAACAATGCAATATCAAGATTCTTTGGAGACGGGAGAAACTGAACTAAAACCCGGTTGGACCATTAGCGAGCAGGTGGAACAATATCGCAAGAAATTATTGAAAATGGTATGTTGTCTGGAAAATTATTGTTTGTCCGCTAAAATTAATATCACATTGGATAGTCGTACAACACTAAAAACTAGACACTCTTGGACAACCTGAAGAGCAAAATCTAGCTGAAAATGTTTCGTCTTTGATTGTTTTATAAAATTTAAATCATGTTATTGTCGGATTCTCAGAAGGGTTGCAACATTTGGAAAATATCGTTTTGGAGTATTATCGATACTCCTTCAGAAAATTTATATTAGACCGTTGTATCCCTGACCAATTTTCCGACAGTGGACCCAAATGAATTTTGTTTTTAGTCAAATGTTGTTTAAATCATTTGAAAGCTATTATTATGAGGTCCTTTTATTTGACTTGATTTGGTTTTCTGTTGATTTTTTTTTCCTTAGTCCTCCGATTCGATGGATTCACCACTTAGCTATATGTTCAGTAAAGATGCCAGCCCGGATAGATCAAGGCATTACAAACGTTCACCCTCACCGGCACAACATTCACGAGGCAGTTCACGGTCCAGTCCTGCACGTAGTGGTCGTAAACGCTCCCTATCGCCCTATAATAAAACTGGCAGCCGACGTGAGAAATCGCCATCCTCTAGTAGTCGTGATAGTAGCAAATATAGTAAACGTCATCGTTCACGTAGTATATCACCATCGCCACCACATCCTCTGGATCGAGAATGAGGTCCTTGGAGGAATAACAACGCAAGAGTTTTGTTTGCGTGTTTCTAAAAATAACCCAAATGAATAATCTCCCTTACCTATTGGACAGGTTATCAAACGAAATCATCGCGTTATGCAAGTCCTCTGTCATCATCGAGGTCTAAAAGGTAGGGGCAAAAGGAATACGATTTCTTCCTCAGACCTATTTTTTTAATAATAATTTTGTTGTAATACAGATCCCCCTCCCCCAGTTATTCCCGTTCATCTAAACGTGATGATCGTGATATTTACTCCAGCAGTTCATCATCATCAGCGTCGCGACGAGAAGAAAGAAGTAAATCATCAAATCGGAATAAATACTAAAACAAAACTCCTCGGTAACTTTCAATTTTTTTACACAACTCCCCACTCGCCCCCTTCAGATCCATATGGTATATATGGAATTAAATAAAATAGCGATTTCAATTACAATAACATAGCTTTTTATTTTAAATAATATATAAAAAAATTAAAAATTCGTAAAAAATAGTTTTTATGGAAAATATGAATAATACAAAATTGAATTCAATATGATATTCATGTTGTGTGGTTTTGAGTGTAAAGTACTAAAAATAATGATAATATTTTATACTTCTATTTCGAAATTGATTTCTTAAAACCTTTATGACGGGGTAAAAGAAAATCCGGTTTTGGTTTGTTGTATTCTTTTCAAAGAGGCATTTAAAAATGTCTTCAAATATAAATAAAAAATCGATGCAATAACAGAATGACATTTTTGTTGCAACTTTCATCAACAACATATCACAAATTATATTCAAACTTTCGCCATCAAATGTCTGCAGAAGTGTTCAGTGCTACAGTCAGTTCGTCCTCTTCATTATATTTTGACATTTACCATATTCTTCTACATATTATTGATGTCGGATTCTTGTTTATAAACCTCTATTATATCTTCAATTATTTCCCAGTGTTTATCCTTGGTTATGTCCGATACAAAGGGCTATAAGAAACGAAGAGAAAAAATACATTTTACAATTTGAAATATCAATTCTGCCCCTCCTCCTCACACTTACCGTATACCAATGTGATTGATCATCGGATTCATCTGTTAACGGTACCTGTACACCATACGTTTGCAATGCCAACGATAGACAACACACGGCAATATGCGATGCTTTATGATTTAGAATTTTTGGACTATGATGGAAATCTTGTAGGAATGATGCAGCTGTTTTGGCAATTGGTACAGATGACCAGACATCTGAACCCAACCAGTCTTGTAGGGTTTTCATGTAGTAGAGTAAATACTAAACGGGAAATGGGAATTTCATTTAAAATCAAAATAACATTTAAAATAGTTTAACTATTTAAATACCTTATGTGGATGTTCCATATTGAGGTCAAATTTAAGGGTGCGTGCTATAACTAGCTCTGCTTGTACAATAGCATCACGCATAGACCAATATTCATCGTCCAATTCTAATGGCGATGAACCGCGATTCAGTGTAATGTGAGCCACATTAATGACATCACGAATTTTGACGGGATCATCCTTAATTTTACCGGCCAAGTATAAAGATGATGCAGCTATGAGCTGTAAGTGATACAGGGACAAAAAATAAATCAACTAAGAAAAAATCTAAACTTTTTGCCTAAATAGATCTCAAAAAAAAAAAAAAAAAATATATATATATATATATTTTTAAACCCTCGTTTATTGCCCTGATATCCCATCAAAAATATTGCTCAAAAAATCTTAACTTATTACCCTAAAAGTCCTTAAAAATATACTTTAAAACTTTACGCTTACTTCCTATATATTCCATAAAAATATTTAAAAATATCGACTCTTTTAAATTGCCTCACCCCTTGACAACAACGTTTCTGTATACAAATCACAGGGCCTCTTTTTATTTTGTGGCACCTAGACATCATATATCTCACAAGTTCTCAAGTGGTAAACACGCCGATGTGTATACAAACAAATATGCCTATTTTTATAACAACAATAAATGTTTTTTTCACAATTAGTTTAGTTTAGGCGTGTATTCATCAATAGCAATGTGTATATTTCTTCTTTGATTTAGTTTATCTATCTGTTAAAGTGATATCAGTTACGGCTACCTGGCGGCCTTGATATAGAAGTTATTAAATATCGTAGACATTCTGCTAATGGGGTCGTTGCACATATTCTAGTTTTTAATGATGTGATTTATTTTCTAATTCTTATGACATCTGAGACTATTGTTTTTTTGAATAACATCAAGTTTTATCTCCTCACATTAGTAACTAATTGTTATTAGAACCCTCAGAATAAAATTTGAAAACCTTTTTTTGTCTTATCTCATTTACATATCTCCGGGCCATTACCATTAATGTCATTCCAATTACAGGCATTTTCAGTTAAACACAAAAAGGGAGGGTCGAGATGATTTAGGTATCGGACATTGGTTGAATATCCTCTTTGTGTTTTGAATACTGAAAAATGAGTTTTAAAACAAATGTATGTTCGCGTTCATTGACTTTTCTTGAAGTGACACACATTCACAACAAATGACATCCCCCCACATTTAGAAGATTTTACATTGGGTGTCTGGTAAATAAAAAGGAAAACCAAATTTGCAGCCAAGTGTTTTTTATATATAAAAAAATAAACACGAGCACCACACTGATCACATGTATGCGCGTACTCTCTCCACTCTGTGTACAACGAACCAACAGTGTCGGTTCGCCACACGCTTTTTTATATCTACACAAAATTTGAAAAAATTAAACTTGTAACACCACACAGATATTTGGATGGATGGTTGGTAGTTAGTTAGGCCGCACATTACTCTTTCGGAGGCGGGGGCATATACTTACATATTCATCATAATCCGTTGACTCCACTTCTCGATAGAAACGATGAAAGATTATTGCGGCTCCAGCCGAGGTCAATGGTTTGATTTGCAATTTAATGGCACATTCGAATAGAAATCTTGGCACAACTCCGGGTCTTTCGATTTTTCTGGTTATGAATAAAAGAAACAAAATTAAAACAATAACAACAACAGTATAAAGTAATTTATAAAAATAATTACCTATAGTCTGTCGGTTTAACCTTTTGTAATTTATTTTCCTGTGTTTTATTTTGCAGGGACAAGACATCAACAATGTTGTTCTTCATTTTGGATTGATGTTTTTACTGTTGGTCGTCAACAATTGTAGATATTAGAGAAATTATACGAATGTGTGTGTGTTGTAGTTTTTCTGCAAGGCAATTGCAAAAAAAGAAAACAACAACTTTAATACATAAATTTACAATTTGGAGCTTCACTTTTTCATATAAAAAAAAAACAATTTTGGAACCGGTTAAACTAACCTTTCTCTCCCAATCTATTTGTTTATATCTTGGCCCTGTTTGTGACCGACTGACGAAAGTTTCTTTTCTTCAGCTCAGAGAAATTTAATTCATGTGGACAATAACGATTACTCGAGTACTCGGTGTCCACAACGTTAGTTGTCTATAGGCGCGAGTAGCCGTTATATTATCATATGGGATAGTCGTTAAAGTGCGGTACACATCAGACACTTGCTGAAGCAATATTTACATCAAACTTTAATTAATAAATTATATTTAGGAAACATTAGTAAAAAATCGAGTTAATAGTATATTCTTGCAGGTGATAATGTAAGAATTTTGGACAATACGTAAAAGCAAACATATTTTCCTAAGTAGCGCACATTTCAAAAGTAAAACATCCATAAATATAAATTATCAGCTGACGACTATATGAAATAGTCGCAAATGCAGGTCATATAATAGTACGTTTACATTGTACTGGATTTGTTAACCCAGTGGGTTAAATTGTCAATCCGATTGCATATATGCCATATAAATCCTCATAAAGTAGGTTAACATGGTAAAAAGTTCTAATGTACATGCCGTTTAAAGTGTATATGTAAATGTGAATTGTATCCCAGCACTACGGAATTACTCATGGCATAATTATACAAGGTAGTCTCATGCAGTCATATGTTTCCAATTTTTTTTTTATAAATTTGTCTTTGACAGTATTCAGCTTTCAAAATTTAAATGAAAATGTATTCTTTCGAAATGTAAGCATATCATGTGTTCTTTGGCAAAAATTGCTAAATAATTCTAAAACATATAAATATAAGATGTAACAACTATGGTTAAATCTTGAGAGCTTTAGAAAATATATTTTGTTTAATTTATTTTTTATTTTATTTGAAATTGATAGATGAGTTCCAAATTAAAAAGGGTTGCCATCATAAAATTCTCAAATTTTCCAATTTTTTTTATAATTTTACTTTTGACAACATTTAGTTGTCAAAATTCCAATCAAACAGCAAACATTGTTAGATTATATATATATATATATATTAATTTTTCCAAGTTCCTTGCCTCTAAAACATATAGATATTCTCATCTCGAGAACAATGTGCAGATTAGGATTATATAAATTTTTATTTTGTCAAAATATGTCAATCGACATACACGATATTTTATGGAATTTATCAAGGCCTTTATAAGGTCGGACAGTAAGGACAGCTGAGTATTAAGTTTGCTGCCAAATCATATTTTGAAACCTATACATATTTACACACAAATATGTTAGACATCACAATGAAAATATAAATATGTTGTCAACTTTCAATTTAATTTTAATTTATATCGTCTTTGTGAAGCATATTTGGACTATTTCAAGATTTTAAAGAACATTTTCAAGTAAATTATCTTACAAAATTTTAAATTGTGATCTGTTTTCGTTGCGTTTTGAAGTAAATTATCTTACAAAATTTTAAATTGTGATCTGTTTTCGTTGTGTTTTTTATTTAAAGGTGAAACAATTAGTTTTCGCCTTCGCGAAAAAAGACGTTAAACTTAAGTTTTTCCTATGAATTCGCTTACTGGCTCGCCTTATATAGGAATTTATTTTTTATTAAAAAAAAAATACATACAGACACATGGTATAATAATAAAAGGTAACAGCAAGTGTTGTTGTACAAAAAACGATACAACAACCACATGGACATTTGTTGTTGTAAGTTCTACTAATGTCAACTCATTTGACAGAAAAATGTAAACAGACAAACAAATTATCATCAAATTATTTTTATTTTGAAAATGGAATATTTTCGAATCCTCAAAATAAAAATTGAAAAACATGAATGAAAATCTATCAATTTATATATATCGCTTCCACATCTTTCCTTTAATTGAGCCATTGCCATATATATGTGTAACACACATGACAATGCTGGGAATAGCGAGTTATTCCTTCAAGAAAGATTTGCTTCCTCAAACTTTCCCAGCAGGCAGATTGAGTAAATTGAATACGGGAGCACATTAATAAATAACAATTTCAAATTGTACGCGTTGCCAATTTTCCTGTTGGGTGATTTTTAAAAACATAATTTGTCAAATTCATATTGACACTAGTATTACGTTGGAATCAAATCAGCTGGGATTTGCTGTTACCTTTTATAATTGTACCATGATACAGACATGGAGCGGCCTCTAAACGAAAAATTACATACATGTTTTCATATCGAACATATGACATTGACGTGTGACAACGGCTTAATATACATTTTGACAGTTAATTATTCGGATAATCAGCTGTGCTTAAATGCAGTACGTATTTATTGTGCCATAGTCTATTTAGCGCAGCTGATGACTTGATTAACTGTCAAAGTGCGTAATTTCAACTTGAATTCGATGTGGAATGTTGCCAACCATGGCACAATGAATATGTATTCCATTTAGCGCAGCTGATGTCTTGATTAACTGTCAAAGTGGGTAATTTCTACTTGAATTCGATGTGCAGTGTTGCCAACCATTTGAAATATTATATGGAAAAATTTGACAGATAATCGAGACAAAAACAAAGGTTTTTGTTGTGATACATCACCTTATTATTGCATCATGTTGCCAACCATGTGAAATATTAGGTGTGTCTGGTTACTTTTCCAGTAAGATTTACTCAGTAAGTTCTAGTTCAGAGAGAAAGCCGTTTTTACTCTCTTTTGCGATAATACTGAGAAAAGTAAACAGACAACATTTAGTAAGCAAATAAACAGCTGATTCAAGAAAACATTTTTATTTGCGCCAAAATAAACACACCAACAAAGGACGAACCCAATTATTGCATTTAATATTAAAAATAAAATGAATAATAAAAGAAAAATTGATTTGGTAAGTTCCCCGGGAACATTTAAGCTTCCTGCATCAATATATTGTTCCCTTTTGATACTAGTTTCTAATTTAATTAAACTTTGAATTACCTTTGAATTTTTTTTTCCATTTTCGGTAATTTTTATGCAACTTAATATCAAATTAAACTTTGCAAATTACAAAAAATCGTTTGAAAAATGTTTGTGTTTGGTCATAAAACAGCCGATCCAAAAATGGCTGAGTTTGCAAAATCTTACTGCATAAATTTCTTTCAGTAAACTCCAGTAAGTTTGTTGCAGTTGAACTGTCAAACTTGCTCTCTCTTTTACTGGATTTTTGGGTAAACAGACAAGATTTAGTAATATTTGTTAACAATTACTACCAAATATCGAGTAAACAGACACAGCTATTATATGAAAAAAAAATTTGACAGATAGTCGAGGCAAAAACAAATGTTTTTGTACATCACCTTATTATTGCATCATGGTCTGTTCCAGTACTATTTTAATATTTGTGAAAAGGGAAATATTTCAAAATCGCCCTGACTACAAAATAATTTGAAAAGTCCGGGAACGTAATTCTAGTAAATATGTCAAAATTAGATGTAAATACTTCAACATCAACATAGCAGCCAATCAGAAGTTGGCATTCCTGTTTACCATTTTTACTTGGACAAATTTTTCGAGTAAAAATTTGCAAAGTGAAAGCCATTTTGTTTTGTTTTCTTTTATATTTTATATTTGATTCAGTTTTGTGGGTTCAGGAACGGTTTTCCATGGCACAATGAATAGGTAGTCCATTGAGAGCAGCTGATGTCTTGATTAACTGTCAAAGTGGTAAATTTTACTTGAATTCGATGTGCAATGCTGCCAAATTTTTGAAATATTATAAGGAAAAATTTGACAGATAATCGAGACAAAAAACATGTTTTTGTTTTGATACATCACCTTATTATTGCACCATGCGGTTTTCGATTAAAATGTTGCAAAACTTGTAAATAAATCATAAATTTGCTTTTGGCATTCTAAGGCTACGTTTAGACTACTAAATCCACTCGATCTCAAATGTCAATTCCATTGCGTATACGTCACGTTAATCCTGTTCTCAAATCCAGTGGATTATATTTGACGTATAAGCAATGGAGTTGACATTTGAGATCGAGTAGATTTCGTAAATCTAAACGTACCATTAGTTAAGAACTTGAGAACAATGTGAAGCTTTAGAAAAATTATTATTTTTTTTAATTTGTTGAAAATTTGTCAATCGGCATGCGTAACATTTTATGGAATTCATTTTATTTGAAATTGATATATGAATTCCACATTACGAAGGGTTGCCTTAAAAATTCTCAAATAATGTCTCAATTAGTATAGTTATGTCATGGTGGTTTTCATATTGAACATATCACATTGATGGCTCGTGTGATAACGGCTTAATAGATATTGCTATACACTTTGACAGTTAATCGGATAGTCAGCTGCGCTTATTTTGCCATGAGATTAACATAAACGTTATCGCTGTGACATTTATTTAGAACAGACACCCTTAGACGGTGTTTCCATTACGGTGTCAACTCTGCAACAGGATGTAAGACGACAAAGAAAGGAAGTGTTGTATTTTACAAATGTCGAATAGAAAGAAATAACAGTACTGTCGTTGACTGACTTCTATTGATTTATACAAAACTGAACCGTAACAACAACAACAACAAAAACTGCTTTACGTTTGCTGAAAAATAGAAATGTTCAGTATTTTTTCTTTAATAAATAAATAATAAAACATTAATAAATCACAACAAAGTGCCAGTGAATAAAAAAAAATAAAGAACAACAACAAATATTAATATTGTAAGTGTAACAAAATCCAAAGAAATTATTTTCTCAAACACCATATTCTCTATCTAAAAATCAGAAATTGCGGACTCGATTTGTCCACAATTTCTTGTGAGAAAAAAATCTTTACATATTTGTCTTCGTGCTTGGTGTGT